ATGGGGAATGTGTCAAAGAGACAACAACCCAACCAAAGAGCAGAAAACAGCCTAATGTGAATGTATTAGATGTATTACTTATTGAACATTTATATTGGTATATTTTTTATTTTAGACTCTCTGGTTGACTGGATCAAAGACAAAGGATTAGGAGCAGGGCAATCCTTGTCCACCGCTCTGGCCAATAAATTATTTGATGATTTAGGACTGACACAGTTCTTGTACACACCTTCTTGTAATAGGTTTGATGGAATTTACTCTGGTGCAGTCAATGGTTGGAAAGCTGAAGGTAAAATAAAAACGTTTTGTTTTTGTTTCATTAAGGTCATCTTATGATCCAATTAATTCACTCTAATAGTCTAAAGGAAACATCTTTTAATCTACAAACATTCCAGATTTTTATACAAATAAAACTTGCTCTCACAAAACTAATTATAGAAAATGATGAAAGCATCAAAGATATTGCAGAAACCAATAAAAATGTGTTACTGAAAGTAGTAGACATATTTTTCATTGAAAAAATTGTACTATTAAACTTTACTAGACAGTGAAACTTGGCAATAAGCGAAGTTTCCTGTGTTAATTTGTGAAAAAAGATGTCAGAAATTAAAACTGTTTGATAAAATTAGTGCACTTTCACTATCATTTAAGCTTATTTAGAGGGAAATTTGCACAAATGAATATGAAAAAGGTAAAGTCTCAGAATGAAAGTAAGTTAAAAATAGATTTTTATTAGGGATGGCAACTTGTACTTGAGTACTCGGGTACTCGCTCGGAAGGCCGAGTACTCAAGTATAATTTTAGTACTCGGATACTCGTTTGCCTGTTATAAATCTTGAGATATTTCTCCTCACATTTCCGCTCACTTTAGTTCCGTTGAAATATCCCCTTCCTATTACTATTTAAACTTCATTAACAACGTAAAAACGTTTATCCTGAGACTTCTATTTGGTACTAGTAAATAGTAGTCCGTTCCTTCCGAGGTGATGTTTTCATGTGCACAACTTGTAACAAAAAATAGAAAGTCAAACAGTCTTTCATCATTCTGAAGTTGTTGACCAGATCATATTTCTAAACAAGAACAAAATCAAAGTGCCCTGCGGTGAACCCTACTGATTAGAGACATTTTAATGGTGTTTGTACACGGATTAACACTTTCATGGATTAATAACTCATCACAAGCCGTAAACTTACCTTTGTTTGTTAATCAAGACTTCTATGTAAACGTTATTGGTATGAGATGTACGCTTAAATTAATTAAATTACATTTTTTTTAAACTAAATTATTATTTTTGTAGTACATTTGTCTTTCGTTGATATGTTTATGAAAGGTATTAACATAAACACCGCAGCCCACCTAAAATCAAAACTTTTCAATAGACTTCTGAAGTTTAAGATTCATCTGAGTACTCGAGTACTCGCGAGTATCATGACCAAGTATCCGAGTATAAAATTTCAGATCTTTTGACATCCCTAATTTTTATATTTTGTAAAATCAAAGTAAAAAGAAATTGTTGGTAAACATGAATCATATGATATGTTATATAAATGTCACTGAAATAGCAACTAAATGATACAGGATAATCGTTTATTTACAGCTTGCCCAAAATCAGCAGATTTGACTTTACCAAAGATCAGAGGAACAGTCAGTTGTTATGTACCAGATTATTGTACGGGTATTGATTGTTGTGTGGATGTAGGAAAGATCGGTAAATCGTTCCGTATCTATGCCTTGTTGGATGCCTGTAACTGGAAACTGAGTATTGGTATTGAGAAACGAGCATTTAATTTCACAATTTTAGATTATAATTGGGGTAAGTATGTAAAAAATATGAACATCGATAAATATCGGGTTGAAGTCCAATAAACCTTAAACTTTGTACACATGTTCCCTATGAAATTATCTTTCTAATTTTAATGCCAAATAAGAGTTTTGACCCCAATTTCACTATCCACTGAACATACACATTTTTGTTCTTTTAAACTTTTTAAAGTGAGAGGGAAATACTTGTTTGCAGAATATCTAACACAAGATTTGCAGTAAAGGTCATTTATTCAAAAACCATAAAAACATAATACAAATGACTGTTTTGAGCAATTATGTAAAACACCAAAACTGAATAAATGACAATAATTTGCAAAGGTGGGGAATAAATACCACCACAATCCCAAAGTCACAGAGTTGGGGAGCCACAACCTGAGTAACATTGGAAATAGATTTTATAAGAGATTATTTGATTTATATAATGTTTGCTTGCTTTATATCCAATGGTTATTTTTTTATTCATATTTATGCCCTCATTAAAAAGAAAAAAAATGTGTGTATATAATATTACACATTGCTCAATGTCTTGATGTACAGTTTCATATTACACTTGATAAGAATAATTTCCTCCCTAAAATGTTTTTATGTACCATCGTATTCTCTTTTATTTGGGGGGGCCTCAGTGGCTGAGTAGTTACTACTTGATCACCTATGCCAGTCAACACTGAGATTGTGAGTTTGAAACCTGCTTGTGTGGGTTCACTCGACTCCAATCTTAATTGACTAGGGTTGCCAGTTTCCTTTTCTAAGGTTGTGGTTTTCTCTGGGCACTCAGGCTTCATCCACCAATAAAAACTGGCCACCACGAAATGGCCCAAAAGTGGCGCTTAAAGTGGTGTTAAAACACTCAAAATCAATCAATCAATCTTTTATTCCATTTCAGAAAGAGAGTTGTAAATTGTCTTATCAATGAATTAAAACAATATGTTTCACAGTCTGACAAGAATTATTTCTGAATGTACAGTAGTGGTTTTTTATATTCAACAGGTCATATTAATTACTAGTGCTCTTATCCATTTATTTTATTGAAGAACTGTCATTTAGTAACTTCAAATATTGTAATCATAATTTTGGAAAGGTGGGAATGTTTTGAAATGTGGTGTTTGAAAATTAAACAGAGGACTTGAAACATAAGAAATACATGCATGTAATAAAATACATTACAAATGGGCTAGTGAAAAAAAAAGATATTTACTGATATCTTGATCATATTCTAGAGCACTGATTTAAAAGAACAAATTCAACATACATATCCTAGTTAGGGTTCAAACCCTCTTTAACCATGTTTTACAATCTCTTGATGCCACCAGGCAGGGTCAGTGACTAAGAAAGTTTTTAATTGAAATGTTGCTTATGTTTTTCAGGTGAGAAAAAAACCATGTCAATATTAAAAGTCCTGAAAATGGAGTAAGTATAATGTATTGGTCAGATCAATGTATTTCATACAACTTCTAATTATATAAATATAATTGATTGCTGTTAATTAACATCCAATTGGAAAGATTTCATGCATATTCAGGACAAGAACAAATAAAAAGATAATTCCATTATGTAGATTTTATAAAAGTGGTCGATTGGGATGAAAGGCGGGGATTTGGACTTTTTCTGGGAAATTGGGGTTGTTAAAAGGTATAGAACCACTAATTAAGGCCCGGTCGGAAGAACATACAAGAAAGTAGTACATATTTTAAACAAAATAGTTCCTACGCATAGCTGTATCTTTGTCAATAGGTGGAGTATTTGGGTAGTTTTGGTATCAAATGAAAGCTTGGGGACTTGGGATCACTGTAGAACCCTTGTTGAAAGTTTCTTTTGAATAATAAAGAAGTATATACAATTTTAATAGGAGGGCACATTTGCCCTGTTGTTCAGATCAGAAGTACCTGTTTTTGTACTATCAAACTTCCGGGAACCAGTACGCTCTAATATACAATTAAAGGTATGTTGAATTTTTCAGCACAAGTCAGGATAAGGTATAGTTTTGACATGAAATAACTGCTACTTTATTTAAACTTAAGACAAAGTAGCCATTAATGCTTGAAATTGCAGAATTTAACATAGACAGCAATGGGGCTATGAATTAGTGGTTTTATACCTAAACCGGTGCAAAAAATTTGCGTGTTAACAGGTCACCTAGCAACCATACAACCTTTTGACCTGCAATTACTTTGTTAATGTTAATGATGGTTGCAATTTTTCATTATACAAGCTTGTACTAATGAGCTGTTATTTATAGAAATATTTTGCCCCTAGAGAATCTTAAACAGTTAAAAATAACAGTCCCATTGTTTTTAAAATTTATAAGGTGCTGTTACAGACACTGTGTTGATAAATCTGCTGGTGGACTATCCCAAGGGAATCATCAGCTCAGTAGTTATTCAGTACTGACATGATTTATAACAAACCTTTCTATAATTGTCTTTTTATAGATTTAGAACTACTATTTCGGCAAACAGCAAATTTTATAAATCAGGACATAAAACTATATGTCAAGCTTGACACGCTTCAACTTTTCTAGGGTACAATTAAATTATTACCTTGCAATCAGAAGAGTTTCAAACTTATATTTTGATAGCTGTAAATCTTTCAATTAAGAGCAAATGTCAAATTTCCTGTCCAGGAAGAATTTCGTATTTGCTGTTTTTTAAAGGAAGTCTTGTGGCACTAGAATATGGGTGAAAACCAGTCATTTGATGAAATCTCATATTAATTCATGACCCGTACTGGTATTGAAAAATACCTGGTGAAGTAGTTAATTCAGGTTAACACCCGAGAAAAACATGTATGTGCCAATTGACAGGTATGGCCTTATTTCATACATGCCAACCTTTTGGAGCTACAAAGTGGGAGATCTCAAGCTCATCTAATTGTGTTGAACTAGCTTTTTAGTTTGAAAATTTTGTATTGAGTTACAAAGTTTTGTAATTATCAAGCACAAAAGGATAAATTTAATATTCTATACCCAGATTCAGTTAGTTAATACAATATTTTTGTTCAATTGAGATGTTTTTTTTTTATGCAAATAAGATTGTTTTTGCAATACAACAGAAAAGACCAATCACAGAAAACACTATCAAAACAGATCAAAGGATGAAAAAAAAAGGGGGGGTTGAAAATTGGGTAAAATTGTTTTTCGTGGGAGAATGAGACCTCCTTTGAGGATGAAAAGTCATCCATGAAACAGTGTGTTGGCAGGTATGTGACTATCAAATTTTCATTTCACAAGAAACTATTGTAGGATTTGGCTTTAAGAATTTTCCTGCAATAATGGCAAATATAGTGAAAATTAAACAAATTTTCTTAAGTATTTTCAAATAAGGGATTGATTATAAAATTATTGATTCATTCAGAGGTGGTTATATTACATCGAAGAGGATATTTTAAACCTTATATTAGATTGATTCTATCTAGATCTGGGTAATGCAGCTAATGTGAAAGTTTAATCATGAACTTTATATTTTGCAGGTACATCATTTATGACTTGCAGGCTGAGAAGAAATACATGTTAAACATGAACTTAAGTGTTTGTTTTGAGGAGAGCGGACCATGTCTGGTTTCTGTACCCGTATTTGAAAACACCAAACTTCCTAAACTTGGATGTGATTGGACACAAACAAACCTTGGTAAGATATAAGTTGATGATTTCATTCATATGACTTATGAAGAAAGAAAGTGTACTTGTATGTGATTATTAAATGTACTTTTATTCACTAAAAAGATATAAGCAATAAGGCAATTATTTCAATCATTGAAACATTTTTTTCTAACTAGTTTCTTTTCAGCACCTTTATGATTAAACTATTTGTTGTATTTATGGGACTAGTTTTCCATTTTGAAATGAAAATTAAATTAAGATAGAAGTTTAAAAAACGCAATTTTCCCCTTCAAAATAAATTCTGAATGAATTTTTGGGGATGAGAATTTCAACAATTATAGACTGTTTGAAGCCAGTTATAGCAGTCAAACACCATTGTTAGAAAAGAATTGACCATTCACTGATTGCCTTGTTAATGGATGAATAGAAATTAGAGACTTGATGATTTGAAGACAAATATAAGGTTTTTTGCCAATTTTATTGTTTCTATACACCTGAGTAAAAAAATATCTTATAACTATACACCTGAGAAAAAAAAAATCTTATAAATAGACGAATTATTCATGTTTTATACTCAAAAACTGCATGTGATGTTGTGTTTATTCAATATTTACTCAGTATTTTCAATCTGTTCAATATAACCACTGCTTTAATCATAAAAAGTTGATTTCTGACAATTATTTTTATCATTGTTCCTATAGAAATTTGCATTTTTTTTGTTTTTGTTTAGTAAGGAAAACTTTTGAGAAGGCCTTAATTATCGCAACACATTTATTTAAATTCCTATACAACTTTTCAGATTTCTCATTAAGTGAATTTAAAGCTCAGAATTGTATAAGTGGAGCTGTTAAGGGAATACTTCGTGACAAGATGCTGGAAGCTCTGGGAATCACATCATATCTGAAGACTCCATCTTGTAGCAGGACAGCAGTACCATTTAATGGATCTGTAAATGGATGGACTAACAGTATGTACATTTTAGATATCGTTTGCAAGTTTTTATAATTGTAGATTAGCTATAGATTTGAAATTGGGAGAGCATGTTGAGTCAGAACTACCTTGTGAAAAATCAAAATTGCAGTATGAGGAGTAATGTATACTTTTCCCAATTAGATTTAGTCCAGAAGAAAAAAGGGCATCTTGAGACAAGTAATTTATATGGTCTGAAAAAGTAAAAAGTGAATTTCAGTTTTTTCTATTACAAATTTATGTGACGAATTTAATCAGAAATACTTATGTAATTTCAACAATTGTTCGACAATTTTTCATCCTATTTCTTGACCCCGAAGACCCAGGGATGCTGATATATGTATCCAGCTGTAGTCTGCATGTAGAATGGACCCCAGATAACACATTAACCACAACAGCTAGTTGTAAGTTGGAGTGAAACTGATCTGGGTACATCAGTCTGAAGAAGGTCAAAATATGGAATTTTCACAATTTATTCCGATTTTTGACTTCAACTGGACCCGAAACCCAAAGTTGTCGTTTCCTATGTGAATTTCAATAATAATTACGATCAGTAGCTATGTGCCTGCGGGTTTGCACTATTTTTCAGGCCTCTACATTATCATTTTTTCTTACTTGTCCCTTCAGACAAGTTGCAAGAAAATCAACTTGTCCGAACTCTTAACTCTCTTGTCCGAATTCAAAATTGAAAATCTTACATATTGATGGTATGCACCAATAACACTTGAGCTTTGATCGTACATAATGAAGGGAGCAATTTGCTATGCTATATGAATTTGTTTGTAACTAAATAAAGAATACCACAGTACATCAAAATTCATTTTATTATTTGAGACTGAAATTTTATTTGCAAGACTGAGTTATCTGACTCAATGTCACTATCATGTGTCGATCTTTAAATCATCATCACTTCACAAATCACTAGGTTCTCTTGTGGACCAATCCATTCTGAATATTCTTTTGTTAGTATAAGTATCCTTTAATTAGGACCACTTCCATGTGGAGTTTTACCATAACTTTAAAATTTTAAAGAATAAAAACATTTTTTTCCAACATATGTACAGCACAGGGCTTCCAAAACGGTCATATATTCCGGACTTGACCGAAACTTTCATAAAAAGACCGGCTGCTCTCAGCCTCAAACGGTCAAATAGAATTGGTGTGCCACATTTTGTTATTCAAGGCATTTTCATGAAACGGTCATTTCAATTTTTACCAACTATCGATCGATAAAAATGTCCGTTTGGGGCTTTGGGCATGTCCGTTTTGGCATTTTAGTTTATAATTGTGGCAATCTATTTCACAAAGATATTTCGGTCATAATTGGGTTTAATAAAACAGAAGCAGCATATTTCAGATACTTTGAAGTGTCTCAGTTAGTCTAATCCTCTGGGTACATAAATGTACGGCTTGGTCTTTAGCTTGTGTACATCAATAAAAAGTAGAAAAAACACGTTTTCTTTTATTTAAATAACAACAAGCTGTCAAACAATTATCCCTTGAATAAGTTATATTGAAGCCATAAATCATTCACTGATTACAGGTTTGTTACCTTTGATGAGGTGTCCTTAGCTTATCTTCATCAATAGAATTAATGATGCATAACAATGTACATAAAGGTAATCCGGTAAACGAGGTCAAACATGTAAGCGTGTATGGAACAACATCCTATTTAATTACGCTTTATAGATATTATTTTAAATGAGCATTCAGTTTTAAAAGTATCCTGATATTTAAAAGTTATTCTTCAAATAAGGATATTTATAAATGAATAAGTATGATATATATTATTTTATTTAACACTGTACATCGTGTTAAATACTGGGGTACTCTCAAGGGGAAATTTTACTAAAATATATAGGAAAAACCAATGGACAAATTTCAGTCAATAAATGATTTAACTAAGTTAAATGGTGCCGTGATCACTTCTAAATTATATCAAGAGAACAATGCCTTCTCCGAATTTATTCAGACAATTTCCGATGTTATAGAGAAAGAGGTGATGTCCGACGTAAAGTTAAGTCCCGCCGTGGGAATTATGATCGACTAAGGTGTAGTCTAGGTATTGACGCTTTAGATCAACTTATGAGGATAAGCTTAGTAGGTGTAGATGTTAAAGACTTTGACCCTGTTCCTGCTATCCGCAAATGGCAATCCGTTCGTAACCGCCATGTTTATCAGAACAATGCATTTAGCAAGCTCATGAATGTAAAATCTTTAATTAGACTAAATGAACTCTAATCTTGTGCTGTGATCTGTGCTTCTTTTCAATGTGCTCATTGTAATATTTATTGCGTGTGTTTGTCAGCATTGTGCTCTTCTGACATTTTATTGTTGTTATATGCTTACATAAAATATCATGTTGTTATTCATTAAATTATTTATCAACTGAGTATGTTTTTATTTATTCCTTATTTTCTAAATCAGGTTGGGAAATTGTACAAAGAAAAATGTTATCACTGTTCAGTAGATTTTACACGGTTTAAAACAATATCCTTCATCGGGCCTCCTCAATGTTATCTATAAATACCGCATCAATTGTAAAAGTCACGTGGTCAGGTAATCAATACACAAAAAGAAAAGTATCACGTGTATTGATGATCAAGTTGTACTGCAATTAAAGCCAACATCAACAGTTTCAAATAAGATGGCCTTAATTTACAAAGTGTTAAGTACTCACAGAGAGAAGATAGATTATATAAACAGAAACAAAAACATGAGAACAGTCAGGTACTGAAGCTGATTGATGCAATGATGGTTACTGTATTACGATACACAGAAAAATGACACAATACCGAGGATAATATTTTATTTATTTTTAGAATGAAGAAAACAAAACAGTTATAAATAATTTTATTGCATATAACACTACTAATTATTTAGACACATATATCAATTTATGCATCCTCTCAGTTACATTTAAGGATCCAGCTGATCATTGACCGTCAAAAATATTTCTTTGAAAAATGTCCGGCTGTCGTCAGGAAATTTTGGAAGCCCTGGTACAGCACATATATAAATAAACAATAAAAGTGTCATGCATGGCATATATTTACAGGTACCTTTTAATACAAATTCACTAATAGAAGTACCTCAGTTTTATTTACAATTAAAGTATGTTCCCTTTGATTTTGCTTAATAAAATCTAAAAAGGCAGATTTTCTCAGTGGAATGTCTTATGTACTTCATAATCATGTATCAATGTATTTAAAAATCAAGATAAAATTATTATAGCTTGTTTTGCCACCATCAATACATTTAAAAGGTTTATATACAAGGTATGGTCCCTATCATCAGGTAACAAGAGCGCAATTATTTGTTTACATTTTACCGGCAAGTTTTTTACCCCAAGATGGTACTCAGAATTGAATCCTATACGGCTTCTGATTGGATGATACAGGATTGGAATTACATTTAATCGAAAGCTTATCCAATTAGGTTTAAAAAATGCAGAAAATCATATTCACATTTTACAAAGTATAGAAAATATCTTCCATTTCTGCACGTCGGAGCCATTAAAAATATGCCTATTTCATTAAGCGAAAAAATAGACGATCTTTTTCAACTGCATTTTAAGTCAATTTTTGCCGCATGACCATATATATTTTTTTGGTTGTAATGCAACACTGGCATTTCTAGTAACAGGAACTGCTACCCGTTTTTCCCTATTTTGTGTAGTCTTCGAGGGAAAAAATACAGAATACCAGTGGTACCCTATGGAAAATGCATTACGAATAATTGCGCTGTTGTAACCATCAATGTATTAGTGAAATTCATAGCTTTATTATTTGTCCCATTCAAACACCTGGCCACCTTGTGAATTTCAACTGATTAAAACATGTTAGAGATCGTGATTCCAGTGACTAGGACCTCGGGATTTATCATTTTGATAAGAACGCTTCTCCCCGAGAGGTTCGAATGAAATCTTCCCAGCATATTGACGTTTGGTTCCTTCCCCATTACTGATATTCCCCTGGTCAGCCACTACCGGCATGTTCAATCAATGAATATCTATTTCATTTCGTATTATCAATAAAAGAATTTTTAAAAATTTTGTGAATTAATAAGTCATGAATTTAATATATTTAATATCTGACATTGATTTTTCACTTGTCCCATCGGACAAGTAGTATGGTGAATTTATTTGCCTGACGTCTGTGTCCACTTGTCCCGGACAATCGGACAAACGGTAATGTCGAGCCCTGTTTTTCCAAGTTTTAGGCCTCTGAACTTCCTGTGTAAGACACTGAAGTAAAGCCCACCACTCCAGAAAACCCAGTTTTATCCGATTTCAATTTTCCAAGTTCGTATTCGAGCTCTAAATGCAAGTTAAACATGAGAAACATGACAATAGATAGCCTAAGGTTGAGGGAACATGCATACATTTCGAAATTAGTATCATGAAGTTGACCTCTGAAAGTATGGAGAGCCATTGGAGCCAAATAACGGTGGTTTGGGTAAGCCCGTCTTATGACAGTCACAGCATGGTTAAAGGGTTAATAAATTTGAGAAATTAATTTTAAAATCCCTCTTCCTCAGATTTCTGTGTACTTTACACAAATGTTCATCTAGATCAAGAATTAACAATTAATAATTTCAAAAGTTAATTTTAGCTTTCAATTTCAAGAAGAAAGTTTTATGTCACAAATTTAGCTTTTCTTAACTTCTGATTTTTTTTGGACCCTGATAAATATTGATTCCATATCCGCAACAAGTGTGTTGCAACATTTCTCCACTGGAGACAGTTAAATTTTAATATTCTAAATAATTAAAATTTAACTGTTGAGAGTGGAGAAATATAGTAATACACAAGTTATAGTGGCGGAATCTGTTTCTCTAATGATTTTTGTCCTACTTTTTCAAACATTTGCAGAAAGTTGTGTTCTTTATATGTGACGTCATCAGGCATGGTCACAATAGGATATTCAGATGAATTCAAAAAAATTAAACGTTATAATTAAATTTCGACCCATCATTTGCTGAGAACAGATATTTCACTAGTGATGAGAAATATTTTCTGACACTGCTCAGGAAATGTGAAATAGCACAAAAATTAAAAAGTATTTTATTAAATCCAAAAACAAAACAACATTAGCTCATATATAGTGTGTTGATCTCAAAATCACTTGAACATGAAATAGTCATTTTGCATCAACTTATCAATCATCAATTCTTATTAATTTTATTTTCAGAGTGCAACTTGACCTTGCCAATACAGTTACCAGCAATAAGTTCCAGCATACCTCTGACGTGTAGCCTGATGGACACATGTACTGGTTTCACATGCTGTTTAGATATAACTGACTTTGATCTCTCTGTTAATTTTTACATCAGTTTGGATGCTTGTAATTATGAATTTTCAGTTGGAATAGAGAATTTACCCTACAAGAAGAAATTGTTGAATTACGATTTTGGAACAGAGGAATTTATAACATTAGCTGATGTTATTCGCTTGAGGTAAGTTTTATATTTTTATTAAATCACACTGTTTGTATTACTGAATCATTTATTAATTTTGATAGAGATATGATATTAATTAAATCTAGAAGTGGGTGCTATATTGCATTCACCTTATCAGTCTGTTTGTCTACCCATCCATTCATCTACTTGTCCAACAAATATATTGGCCCCAGTTTTCTCAGAAACTACTTAACAGAAGGACTTTATATTTGTTCAGCAGCCCAACAGTGATGAGTTGTAGCATGTTTGCTTTTTGATTGTCAGACACATACTCACTGTGTCCGCAACTCTGAATTAAGAATGGAATTATGCTTAACACGAAAAGGCATGCATCCTTGTTCATGGCACAAACTAATAAAGACACTTGACAAGACCAAAGAAGTGAACAGTGCTTTTATTGTTGTTGTTCATCTTAAAGTCACAGTTAGACCTTCAATCAAAATATCTTAAGATTTTGAAAAGTTTTATTTAGAAATTCTATATATAGTAGTTTTGTGGTAAAGATTGCTAGACAGGACAATACAAGACAATATTTTATTTAAGTCTCACATCTTCATTTTATAAAACATACAAATAGTTAATAAAACAATATCATAAAACATACAAGAGCCACTCTAGAAAGAGTTATGAGAGGCATGCATGAAATGTAATCAAAACTCTTTGGTACTAACTTGAACCTGTAATAGAAATAGGTTTAACAACAAATGTACAATCATGAACAAAAGTAGTTAACTCCAACTCAAATTTTTAATTTGCCTAGCAAGGTACAATTTAATGTAATAATTTATTCAAAAATTCACAAAATTGCAAAATGAAAGCAATCTTTACCTCTCAGTGCTCACAAGCACTTTGATTATCAGATTTGACTACATTTCCTTGTGTCTCTTATATCAGCATATTATTGTCTTTACTCACAGGTTTAAAATTGATGATCTGAAGACCGAGAAGATGTTTCTGTTGAATGCTGGAGTGTCATTATGTCTAGATAATAAGCAGTCATGTCTTTTTACTTTGAAGCTTATGAAAGATATACTGCTGCCGAAACCTTTGTGTAATCTAGAGACTAAAATTACTTTGTCTAGTAAGTATGTAAATGTGTTTTTTGAAAGAAGTTGATGTTTATGGTTAAATTTAGAAGGATTATTTGCATTTGTTACAAGTCGATTTTAATAACCCCTCCATCCCCAACCTAAGAAAAAAAGTTAAAACTACAACTCGATGTATTGAACTTGAAAAAGTAAATTTTTGTAAACTTTTAATCTTATTAGCACTATTTATGCATCATAATAATAATAAACCATTTATTTGTTTATTGTTCAACAATGACAGAAATAAATCCATGCAAATTTGTTTTTCTAATATAGATTTACAGTCTACAAGTAGCCTGTATTCCTACATAATATATAATTCTTTAACCAGAAACCCAGGCATGCATTTTGACAATTGAAGACATAATTTAGGCCCCATTACTAGTAAAACAATAATTTGGATTTGTCGGCCACTGAACAAAATTAATCTTATTCCCATTATTTTTAGTGACAATTAGTTGTTGACATCACAGACCAAACTTAATAGCTGACTATGCGGTATGGGCTTTGATCATTGTTGAAGGCCGTACGGTGTTAATTGTTAATTTCTGTGTCATTTGGTCTCTTGTGGAGAGTTGTCTCATTGGCAATCATACCACATCTTCTTTTTTATATTAAACTTGGTTTAATGTCTAATTCTCAAAACTGGTGTTAGATTTGTTAATCGGACTGTTATTGATGAAACTAAGTAAATTTTGTCCACAGTTTTATTTTCCCTTTAATATAAGAAAGAAATAAGGAGATGTGGGGCCTTTCAAAACTACAGATGTTGATGTTTAAAAACATTTTTCTAGAATTAATATGACTCTAAACAAACAAGTATCAAGGGGTTAAACATATGTCTAGATAAAATGTAACCTAAATAATTAAGTCTTTATTTTTCTCTAAGATGGGTACATTAATGCTTGAATGCCTTGTAAATAAACTATTTTGGAATAAGTTCATGATTTAGAAAAAAAAGTAAATATGTATCCGGTTGCATGTCCCAAAAAAATAGGATTGGAGGGTTGGTTTTTAGCTCACCTGGCATGAAGGGCCAAGTGAGCTTTTCTTAACCCTTGGTGTCTGTTGTCCGTCGTCGTTGTCTGTCGTCGTTAATTTTTACGAAAATCTTCACCTCTGAAACTACTGGGCCAAATTTAACCAAACTTTACCACAATCATTATTAAGGTATTTAGTTTTAAAAATGTGTCCCACCTGCCAAACAATATGGCTGACATGGCTAAAAATAGGACATAGGGATAAAATGCAGTTTTTGGCTTATATCTCTGAAACAAAAGCATTTAGAGCAAATCTTGACGCGGTAAAAATGTTTATCAGGTTGAGATCTATCTGCCTTGAAATTTTCAGATGAATCAGACAACCCGTTGTTGGGTTTCTGTCCCTGAATTGGTAATTTTAAGGAAATTTTGCAGTTTTTGGTTATTATCTTGAATATTATTAAAGATAGAAATAAACTATAAACAGTAATAATCTTCTGCAAAGTAAGATCTACAAATAAGTCAACATGACCAAAATTGTCAATTGACCCCTTTAGGAGTTATTGTCCTTTATAGTCAATTTTTAACAATTTTTCATAAATTTTTGTTATCTTTTACAAAAATCTTCTCCTCTGAAACTACTGAGACAAATTTAACCAAACTTGGACAAAATTATCCTTAGGGTATTTAGTTTTTTTTTAAATGTGTCCAATGACCCCTCCTGACAACCACCAAGGATGACATGGCTAAAAATAGAACATAGGGGTAAAATGTAGTTTTTAGTTTATATCTCTGAAACTAAAGCATTTAAAGCAAATCTGACATCAGGTAAATACAAAATGTATGTTCATCAGGTTTAGATTTATATAAAATTACTAGCCCTGAAATTTTCACACAACCCGTTGTTGGGTTGCTGCCCCTGAATTAGTAATTTTAAGGAAATTTTGGAGTTTTTATACGACCGCAAAACATTTTGCGGTCGTATATTGGTATCACATCGTCGTCGTCGTCATCTGCGCCTTCCGAAGACATTTGGTTTCTGGAAAATAACTTTAGTATAAGTAAATAGAAATCTATGAAAGTATAAACACAAGGTTTATAACCACAAAAGGAAGATTGGGATTGATTTTGGGGGTTATGGTCCTAACAGTTTAGGAATTAGGGGCCAAAAAAGGGCCAAAATAAGCATTTTTCTAGTTTCCAGACAATAATTTGTGGAACGGTGTATGGATCTCTCTGAAATTATACCACATGTTTCCATACCACAAAGGAATGGTTAGGATTGGCTTTTGGGGGTTATGGCTCAAACCGTTTAGGAATTAGGAGCAAAAAAGGAGGAAAAACAAGGGTTTCCTGGTTAATGGACAATTAAGACAATTTAAAAGCAGTGTAAGGGAGGTAATCCAAACACAACATTGTTTTGGATTACCTCCCTTACACTGCTTTTAAAGTTTGTATTAAGAAATGTTGAAATGTATTGTCTTGAGGTGATAAGCTGTCAATTTATTTTTAGAAGTTACTATAAATTAATTTTAGCCATGATTATGTATGTCATTTTCTATTTTAAGACTTTTATAATGTATTTAAATAGGGTAATTATGGATGCAAACTCCATTGGAAATTTGAATTGAGATTATGACCATATCTTGAGAAAAAGGAATTTTTAGGCAGTTAAGCTGCCTTATGCTACCACCCTAGATTTGTGTTCTTCCCACTGAATGGTGTAAAAAGTGCTATTGTTATTATCTAGCTGGCTAATATGTTATTAATAACTAATTGGGCACTTTTTTCATACTTTCAATTCTGGAATACAAAAAATATGACTAGAAAAACCTTAAATGATCGTCGAACCACCCAAAATTTTTGAAGTTGCACATAGGAAGTAGTGCTCAGTAGAAATCCGTACGTAGTTTATTATCCAATGTGCTTTTGGCTAAGATGTCAAAGAACAATTGTATGAAATATTCCCAAATGGCAAAAGGCGTAGGAATATTGTTCATGTACACCAAATCTCTATGATAGAGGAAATAAAGTTATATATAGTAGTCTAAGTTGGCGGTAATTTTAACTTACATGAAACGTAAGCTAGTAAGTATTCTGATGTTTTCAAGTAAGTTTTGTTAATCATGATGTTCTTTTCGTTTAAGAAGATTGTGATTATTTAATTGATTTCAATTAAATGTATGCACATTTGAATTTCTTTCTTTTATTATATTAATCCGTTTATAACTGCTTGCCAAATAAAGTTGTTGTTGTTTATGAATGAAAGAGATCTGAAAATCGACGTTGATTGGATGTTTTAAGAAATGTGGACAACTCGTCCCTGAGACAAGTCGGACCGAGTCCACTCAGACCGTCTAAGAAGACAACTCTGACCGCTTGTCAGATTTACTTAGGGTTTCATAAAATGTTAGACTAACATGTCTAGCAGAGCCATCAATCTTTCGTTTGTGTATTGGGGTCTATTTAGGGGTATTTTTAGGGGCCTAAATAAGGGAGGGATTTACTAAAGAACCCTATGGGATTTTATTTTTTTCAATTTTCAAATGACAATTACTTGAAAACAGTAAGTGATAGACACACACTGTCTTCAGTGATGATAACAGGACAATAGAACAAATAGGATAAAATATAAGGTTAGTCCCTGGAGGTAATTCCACCCCCTTCATTTTGAAAATGTGCTTTTATCTTGTAAATGGTTGCGATCCCCAACCCTAAACCATATATATACTTGTATGGGACAATAAAACAAATCAAATGAAAATTTGTTGGAATTTCCAGCGTCACCCCACTCCCTTCTGTTGAGAACTTGTAAACGGTCGAGATCCCCACCCCTACTGCATATATATTCTTGTATGGGACAATAAAACAAATCAAATGAAATATAGGGGGAGTCCACAGGGGTCACCCCAACCCCTTCTTTTTGAAAAAAACTTATATGGTCGAGATCCCTACCCCTAAACCATATATATTCATGTATGGGACAAGATAACAAATGAAATGAAATATAAGGGAGTCCCTGGGGTCACCCCACCCCCCTTCTTTTTAAAAACTTGTAAACGGTCGAGATCCCCACCTCAAAACCATATATATTATTGTATGGGACGATAAACTAAATCAAATGAAATAAAGGGTGAGTCCCCTGGGGATCACTCCCCCCCTTTTTGAGAACTTGTAAACACTGAGATACCCACCCCTAAACCATATTTCTTCCTGTTCCTCATTTCAAGAAGATTTGAATGACATACAGGGTCAATCTCCTCGGCGTCACATATGCATATCACTTTACTAGACCTAACCAATTTGTACTGGACTTTGCCCAATGTCAGGCGACCATGGGAATGAGGAATTATGGGAGCTCTGTTTGGAAGACTTCGTAACAGCATCCTGTTACAATTATTTCTTGTTTATTATAAAATTTAATTGATGCAAAGATAAGTCTAGGCTAATTGAATTTACTTTAATTACTTTTTAAATTATTTCTTGGCCTATAAAAATGGAAGACTTCGTAACAGCATCCTGTTACAATTATTTCTTGTTTATTATAAAATTTAATTGATGCAGAAATAAGTCTAGGTTAATTGAATTTACTTAAATTACTTTTTGAATTACTTCTTGGCCTATAAAAATTTTCATTTATAGCTCATTTTAAAGAAAACTTATAAATCTTTCAAGCAGTGTAAAGCCCAAGAATGTTTGACCAAATGTTTTATAATCACCTGTCATTTTATTCCAAACTTGGGATGGAGTGACATCATGGACTTGGTGAAGGTAAGGGTCATTTACATTTACTTTGGGCAGGTCAATCAGACACCACCTTTGATCCATGTAGTAGTAAACCTTTGGCTGATTTGTATCTCAGAACTTTTGTACTGTAGAACCCAAACTCAGTGTTCCTGCCAGGGAAGCAAGTCCATTCATACTATTACAAACTTGTACTATGTCAACCTGTACCACTAAAAGTCAACTGGTACCAACGTTAACTACCAACTAGAACAACTGCAATCATTGCGAACTTGTACCACTGCAAACTCATCATTAAAAACGTACATTGATATATGCATTGCTTTTGAAAATCTTGATAAAATATTAATTAATTTGCCTTAATAATCAATTCATTAAATAAACATACATGTACAATATACGAATGTTTAATGTTTGTTCTTTCAAATCTTTAAAAAAAATGAAGCAACACTGCCGTAGTTTTTATAATTATACCCCACGCAACGAGTTGCGGAGGGTATAATGTTTTTGACCCGTCCGTCCGTCTGTCCGTCTGTCTGTCCGTCCGTCAGTCCATCAGTCCTGTTTCTTGTTATCGCAACTCCTGTCAAACCACACAACAGAATTTCATGAAACCTTTTCAGATAATAAGGACATACTACGTAGATGTGCATATCGACAGGAAATTATGATTCAATTTTTTTCCCAGGAGTTACGCCCCTTTGAACTTATTTGCCCAATATACTACTGCAACCTTTTGTCATCGCAACTCCTCTCAAACCACACAACAGAATTTCATGAAACCTTTTCAGATAATAAGGACATACTACGTAGATGTGTATATCGACAGGAAATTACGATTCAATTTTTTTTCCAGGAGTTACGCCCCTTTGAACTTATTTGCTTCAATATACTACTGCAACGGTTTGTCATTGCAACTTCTCTGAAACCACACAACACAGATCAAGTTTGAATTTTGGTGGCGTCACTTTTACTGTTCTAGAGTTATGCCCCTTTACAAATGGAAAATTGCTGAATTTATCGTTTCCGTTCTCTAACTTTAGTTTGCCTCAACCAAATGTTATTAAACTTATACACAATGCTTATTACCACAAAACACAGATCAAGTTTGAATTTTGGTGGTGTCACTTTTACTGTTCTAGAGTTATGTCCCTTTACAAATGGAAAAAATGCTGAATTTTTCGTTTCCAATCTCTAACTTAAGTTTGCCTCAACCAAATGTTATGAAACTTTTACACAATGCTTATTTCCACAAAACACAGATCAAGTTTGAATTTGGGTGCCGTCACTTTAACCATTCTTGAGTTATGCCCCTTTAGAAATGGAAAAATTGGAAAATTTTTATTTTCTTCTAAATATCAAGTAATTTTATTAAAATCTGAGTTATCTTCCTTTGTCCATGAGTATAGTTGAATCAGCTACAATCAATGCATTATACAATGCAATGTTTAATTTTGACTTCCACTGATAAAACACAGATCAAGTTGAATTTGGGTAGTGTCACTTTAATCATTATTGAGTTATACCCCTTTATAAATCAAAAGATTGCAAAATTTTTAGTTTCCATTCTGTAACTTAAGTTTGCCCCAACCAAACATTATGAAACCTATACACAATATTCATTACCACAAAACTAAGATCAAGTACAAATTTTTTGTTTCCGTTTTCTAACTTTAGTTTGCCTCAACCAAATTAATATTAAATGTTATGAAACTTATACACAATGCTTATTACTACATAATACAGATTTAGTACGAAATTTGACGGCAACACTTTTACCATTCTTGAGTTATGTCCCTTTATAAACATAAAAATTGCTGAATTTTATGTTCCATTCTCTAACTTTAGTTTGTCTCAACCATGTTATAAAACTTATACACAACCGTTCTAGAGTTATGCGTGTTTACAAATAGAAAAATTGCTGAATTTTTAGTTTCTGTTCTCTACTTTAGTTAGCCATAACCAAATGTTATGAGACTTACACACAATGCTTATTACCACAAAACTCAGATCAAGTTCAAATTTGGGTAGTGTCACTTTTACAGTTCTTCAGTTATGTCCCTTTATAACTATATGATATGCAAGCGGGGGCATCATCTGTGTCCACATGTGGACACTATCCACATTTATTTTTTCTTATACAATTTTTTTCCTTACAGCTATTTTATTCCTCCAGTGACAATGTGGGGACGTGGGGTATGTGAGCGCGCTCACTAAGGTTCTTTAATTACATTTGCCTTGGTTTTTGGTTAACTGCCTATAGCGCTTACAGTGCTTCGATTATTTTTGGAAAAAGGGGGGGAGGTGAAAAAAAAAATTGGGAGGGGGGGCGGGGATAAAAAAGAATATGTGTGGGGGGACAATTTTTTCTCATTTCAAATATCAGAAATTAAAAAGAAAATTTCTTCAAATATAATTCTTTTTTTGCCAAAAAAAAAGGGGGGGGGGGTATAAATTGTTGTTTTTTTTGGGGGGGGGGGTCAATATGCAACAGCATAGTGTATTGCACAAAAGCCAAAAAAAAAGGGGGGTAATTTTTTTATTTATTTTTTGGAGAGGGGGGGGGGGGGGTCATTTCACAACAGCATGGTGTATTGCACAATAGCAAAAAATTGAATATAAAATATTAGTTTAACCTTATTTTACATGATACTGCCATGACAATTCAATATCAGGTTTATTATGGTTTCATTTCATCAATTGAACTGTGGGTCTCCTAAAATAGAAATTCTTTCATAATAGAAATTCCAAATGGAAAAAATATTCTGTAATATTATTTCAACTGGAACAAATATTACAGTATATGTTCCTAATGGAATAAAGGTTATAGAATATTGATATCAACAGGACCAGATATTAAGGCATTGTTTATAACAAAGTTTCCAGGGGAATATCTGTTAGGGGGAACATGTATACTTTGACACAAGCTCACTAGAAGAAGCCTGCAATTTGTTTATTATCATTCAGTCACAAAAATGCTTTTAATAATAGCGCAAATTAGACCAAGAGCTGTTTTCCAATAATCGGGATTTTGGGGTATGCTAAAAGAAGAGCCTTTTTGCTGATCATACTGAAAAATACCAATTAAAAAAAAAATTGGCTTTAAATTAGGGTAAGTTAGTTGTCTCTAAACACATCTATTTTTCTTTTAACTTACCAATATTGATAGCATTGAAACCCCTGCAGATGGGCTTCCTTTCCCTAGAAAAATGGCCAATAAACACATCAAGGATACATGAATACAGCAATTAAGTGAGGAGGGTTTGACTTATTAGGGTTGATTAAAATGAAAATTGTTATTTAGACTGCATAACAATAAGCTAAAATAAGTAGTTTAAAGATAGCCATTAAACAAATCGAGAAACAAATAATTTTTTTTTCTAGTTGTGATTTTTTTTTATGTTTGAAAGAAGATAAAATCAACATGAACTCTCTTTCTCTCGCTTTCTTTCTTGATCAATGAAGTATATATTTAAACTTTAATAAATAACATTCATTGTGATTTAATTATCATGAAGAAATCAAATTATGATAAAATATGTTCACTTCACCATTTAAATAAATAATGAATAATGAATAATCTTTTTCAGACATATCAGCAGTTGACTTCCTAAAAAATCAAGTAGACAAGGCTCTTAATGCTATGCCAGGATATGTCTCTGATCTGTTCATTGAAGCAGTAGGAGTAAAACAATACATGGAAGATCCATCCTGTAGCAGGAGTAGTGCCCCTTACTCTCCTTCAACAGATGGATGGAATAAAGGTTAGTACTTTTAGGTAGAAGATCTATCCTGTAGCAGGAGTAGTGTCCCTTACTCTCCTTTAACAGACGGCATGAATAAAGGTTAGTACTTTTAGGTAGAAGATCCATCCTGTAGCAGGAGTAGTGTCCCTTACTCTCCTTTAACAGACGGCTGGAATAAAGGTTAGTACTTTTAGGTAGAAGATCTATCCTGTAGCAGGAGTAGTGCCCCTTACTCTCCTTCAACAGATGGATGGAATAAAGGTTAGTACTTTTAGGTAGAAGATCTATCCTGTAGCAGGAGTAGTGCCCCTTACTCTCCTTCAACAGATGGATGGAATAAAGGTTAGTACTTTTAGGTAGAAGATCTACCCAGTAGCAGGAGTAGTGCCCCTTACTCTCCTTCAACAGACAGATCCAATAAAGGTTAGTACTTTTAGGCAGAAGATCCATCCTATAGCAGGAGTAGTGCCCTTACTCTCCTTTAACAGACGGCTGGAATAAAGGTTAGTACTTTTAGGTAGAAGATCTACCCTGTAGCAGGAGTAGTGCCCCTTACTCTCCTTAAACAGATGGCTGGAATAAAGGTTAGTACTTTTAGGTAGAAGATCTATCCTGTAGCAGGAGTAGTGCCCCTTACTCTCCTTCAACAGACAGATCCAATAAAGGTTAGTACTTTTAGGCAGAAGATCCATCCTATAGCAGGAGTAGTGCCCCTTACTCTCCTTAAACAGATGGCTGGAACAAAGGTTAGTACTTTTAGGTAGAAGATCTATCCTGTAGCAGGAGTAGTGCCCCTTACTCTCCTTCAACAGACAGATCCAATAAAGGTTAGTACTTTTAGGCAGAAGATCCATCCTATAGCAGGAGTAGTGCCCTTACTCTCCTTCAACAGATGGATGGAATAAAGGTTAGTTCTTTTAGGTAGAAGATCTACCCTGTAGCAGGAGTAGTGTCCCTTACTCTCCTTTAACAGACGGATGGAATAAAGGTTAGTACTTTTAGGTAGAAGATCTATCCTGTAGCAGGAGTAGTGCCCCTTACTCTCCTTCAACAGACAGATCCAATAAAGGTTAGTACTTTTAGGCAGAAGATCCATCCTATAGCAGGAGTAGTGCCCCTTACTCTCCTTAAACAGATGGCTGGAATAAAGGTTATTTCTTTTAGGCAGAAGATTGATTAGAGGTTCAAGACTGAGGTCGGTCTGAAAACAAACTAATGGCTTAATTAAGGTTGAAATAACAAACCTTTTACACTACAGGGAATAAGTTTAATCTTATGACTTCTATGCTATAATGGTCATATTCTGTCATGCTATTGTTTGGAAAAGTAAGGGGTAAAGTATATAAGTTCATGACACAAAATTCCCACATGTTCTTGATAAAACACAAAGCAACATATACATCCAGGACTATTTAAAAGAGAGAGAGAGATTTTCCGCTGTTGTTTGACCTGTGAAATATATTGCAGTGAATATTCAAAAAAGAGAAGGGATATCCTGTTTCAAATAAGTTCTTAATTTGCATGGAATAAAATAACCACAATTTAAATTCCTGTTTAAATACTTGTGTAGATATTAGTATTATACAATATTATTATAATTCCAGAATGTCCACTAGACCTAACACTACCCAAGATACCAAAAAACATTCCTGTAACATGCCACATACCTGATTACTGCACAGGTGTAGAATGTTGTGTCGATATTGAGTTTATAAAGAAGTCCTTCCACTTCTACATACTTCTGGATGGATGTCAGTGCAGAATCAAGGCTGGGATAGATCATTTTGGGATAGATAAAGCCTTCTTTTCATCTGATAGTGGTAAATCTTATAATTATAGCTTTATAAACCGATTTAAAAAAAAATTTGTTGAGGCAGAGACACTTTTTGTCGAGCCTTCGATTTTTGTCGAAAAAGCAAGACATAGCGATCCTACATTCCGTTGGCAGCGTCCACAAATATTCACTCTGTGGTTAAAGTTTTTGAAATTTTAATAACTTTCTTAAACTATCCTGGATTTATACCAAACTAGGACAGAAGCTTTTTTATGATCATAAGATGGTATCCAGAAATAAATTTGTAAAAAAAAATCCTGATTATCCGTATTTTACTTATAAATGGACTTAAATTTCTGCCTGTTAACATTACATTAACTCTGTGGTTAAAGTTTTTGAAATTTTAATAACCTTCTTAAACTATCCTGGATTTGTACCAAACTTGGACAGAAGCTTGTTTATGATCATAAGATAGTATCCAGAAATAAATTTAAAAAAAAAAAATCCTGTTTATTCATATTTTACTTATAGATGGACTTAGTTTTTCTGCCAGTTAACATTACATTCACTCTGTGGTTAAAGTTTTTAAATTTTTAAAACTATCCTGGATTTCTACTAAACTTGGACAAAAGCTTGTTTATGATCAGAAGATGGTATTCAGAAGGGAAATGCAAAAATATTTCCTGTTTTCCGTATGTTACTTATATATGGACGTAGTTTTTCTGCCAGTTAACATTACATACAATCTGCAGTTAAAGTTCCTTAAACATTTATTAGCTTCATAAAGTAGGCGAGACACTAGGTTCCACAGAACCCTTACAAATTTTTATTTAATAACTCAAGGATTTTTACAACAAAATTTTCCTGGAATGCCACAACATTTTTTAGCTCACCTGGCCTGAAGTGCCAAGTGAGCTTTTCTCATCACTTGGCGTCCGTCGTTGTCGTCGTCGTCCTTGTCGTCGTCGTCCGTTGCCGTTAGCTTTTTACAAATCTTCTCCTCTGAAACCACTGAGCCAAATTTAACCAAACTTAGCCACAATCATCATTAGGGTATGTAGTTTAAAAAAATGTGTCCGATGACCTCGCCAACCAACCAAGATGGCCGCCATGGCTAAAAATAGAACATAGGGGTAAAATGTAGATTTTGGCTTATATCTCAAAAACCAAAGCATTTAGAGTAAATTTGACGGTGTAAAACTGATTATCAGGTCAAGATCTATCTGCCCTGAAATTTTCAGACAAATCTGACATCCTGTTGTTGGGTTGCTGCCCCTGAATTGGTAAATTTAAGGAAATTTTGCAATTTTTGGTTATTATCTTGAATATTATTATAGATAGAGATAAACTGTAAACAGCAATAATGTTCAGCAAAGTAAGATCTACAAATAAGTTGCCCATGACCAAAATTGTCAGTCGACCCCTTTAGGAGTTATTGCCCTTAATAGTCAATTTTTAACAAATTTTTGTAAATTTTTGTAATCTTTTACAAAAATCTTCTTCTTTGAAACTACTGAGACAAATTAATTTAACCATACTTGGCCATAATCATTATTAGGGTATGTAGTTTAAAAGATTTGTCCGATGACCCTGCCTTCAAACCATCATGGCCGACTTGGTTAAAAATAGAACATAGGGGTAAAATGCAGTTTTTGGTTTATATCTCTGAAACTTAAGCATTTAGAGCAAATCTGACAGGTGGCAAAAATGTTCATCAGATTTAGATTTATCTGCCCTGAAATTTTCAGCTTCCGACAACCCGTTGTTGGGTTGCTGCCCCTGAGTTAGTAATTTTACAAAAATTTTGTAGTTTTTTGTTATTATCTTGGATATCATTATAATATCTAATATCTAATACTATTAATTATGATTTTAACCTTATTTTACATGATTTCCAAAGCATCAGTAAATACAGGTGAGCGACACAGGCTCTTGAGAGCCTCTAGTTTTGGTTTACAGCTTAATCACATTTAACATCAATTTATAAGTGCTTTAAACCATTAGCTAAAAGGCTTTTCAGTTTAGATCACAATGTGTAAAATATGCATGGCACCATAACTGGGATGAAGAGTTTCTGGACATTGACTTTTTATAAAAGTTTAAAGCAATCCACTGCAGGAAATTGGAACACACAGCTGTGCTGAGAAACTTTTATCATTTTTATTTTGCCTTATTTAAAGTTATTTATTTTCTGTCAGAGAACTGGTACATGTTACTTTGGTTTCATTTGTGAATATGAAAGAAGAGTTTTAAATTGATTTTAAAGAAGGTCTTATCTTGTCATTTTTAATTTTCAGGTGTGAAAAGAAGTGCCAAGTTAGGCAACATTATGTTTTTAGAGTGAGTATTGTAGATATAGGTTTTTAATCTTTTTAATCGTTTTGAATTTTTGGTGGCGTCGCTTTTACCATTCAAGAGCTTTGCCCCTTTACTAATGGAAAAATTGCTGGAATTTTTAGTTTCCGTTCTCTAACTTTAGTTTGTCTTAACCAAATCTTATGAAACTTATACACAATTCTCATTACCATAAAACACATATCAAGTTTGAATTTTGGTGGTGTCACTTTTACCTTATAGAATTATGTCCCCTTAAAAAATGGAAAAATTGCTGAATTTTTAGGCAGTTAAGCTGCCTTATGCTACCACCCTAGATTTGTGTTCTTCCCACTGAATGGTGTAAAAAGTGCTATTGTTGTTATCTAGCTGGCTAATATGTTATTAATAACTAATTGGGCACTTTTTTCATATTTTCAATTCTGGAATACAAAAAATATGACCAGAAAAACCTTATATGATCGTCTAACCACCCAAAATATTTGAAGTTGCACATAGGAAGTAGTGCTCAATAGAAATCCGTATGTAGTTTATTTTTCCATGTGCTTTTGGCTAAGATGTCAAAGAACAATTGTATGAAATATTTCATTGCCGAAAATCTCTAATTACAAGTCGTTTACATTTCCCCGAGACAAGTCAGACCGAGTCTACTCGGACTGTCTAAGAAGACAACTCGGACCGCTTGTCAGATTTACTTAGGGTTTCATAAAATGTTAGACTAACATGTCTAGCGGAGCCGTCAATCTTTCGTTTGTGCCTTGGGGTCTAATTAGGGGTATTTCGAGGGGCCTAAAGAAGGGAGGGGTTTACTATAGGACCCTATGGGATTTCTTTTTTTATTTTCAAATGACTATTACTTGAAAACAGTAAGTGATAGACACACACGGTCTTCAGTAATGATTACAGGACAATAGAACAAATCAAATAAAATATAGGGTGAATCCCTGGGGGGGTCATCCCACCCACTTCAATTCGAAAATGTGCTTTTATCTTGTAAACGGTCGCGATCCCCACCCCTTAACCATATATATACTTGTATGGGACAATAAAACAAATGAAAATTTGGGGGAATCCCCAGCGTCACCCCGTCCCCTTCTGTTTGAGAACTTGTAAACGGTCGAGATACCCACCCCTATTGCATATATATTCTTGTATGGAACAGTAAAACAAATCAAATGAAAGATAGGGGAGTCCAGAGGCGGATTTAGGGGGAGGGGGCCCGGGCCCCCCCCCCTTTTTTGGGAAAAATTTGATTGATTAAATAGGGAATCACTGAAGCATGACTGGAGCGGGCCCCCTCTTAGGCAGTCATTGGGCCCCCACTTATGAAAATTTCTGGATCCGCCACTGGAGTCCACAGGGGTCACCCCCCTTTGTTTTTTGAAAACTTGTAAACAGTCTAGATCCCCACCCCTAAACAGTATATATTCATGTATGGGACAAGATAACAAATCAAATTAAATATAGAGAGAGTCCCTGTGGTCACCCCTACCCCTTTCTTTTTGAAAACTTGTAAACGGCCGAGATCCCAAACCCTGCACCATTTATATTCTTGTATGGGACAATAAACAAATCAAATGAAATATAGGGGAGTCCACAGGGGTCACCCCAACCCCCTTCTTTTTGAAAACTTGTAAACGGTCGAAATCCCCACCCTAAACCATATATGTTCTTGTATGGGACAAGATAACAAATCAAATGAAATATAGGGGAATTCCTGGGGTCACCCCCATCCCCCTTATTTTTGAAAACTTGTAAACGGTCGAGATCCCCACCCCTAAACCATATATATTCATTTATGGGACAATAAAACAAATCAAATGAAATATAGGGGGAGTCCAAGGGGGTCACCCCCATCCCCTTTATTTTGAAAACTTGTAAACGGTTGAGATCCCCACCCCGAAACCATATATATTCTTGTATGGGACAATAAAACAAATCAATTGGAATATAGGGGGATTCCACAGGGGTCACCCCACCCCCCTTATTTTTGAAAACTTGTAAAAGGTGAGATACCCATCCCTGAACCATATTTATTCCTGTTCGTCATTTCAAGAAGATTTGAATGACATACAGGGTCAATCTCCTAGGGGTCACATATGCACATCACTTTACTGCCTTTCTAGACCTAACCAATTTGTACTGGACTTTGCCCAATGTCAGGCGACCATGGGAATGAAGAATTATGGGAGCTCTGTTTGAAAGCATCCTGCTACAATTATTTCTTGTTTATTATAAAATTTAAATGATGCAAAAAATAAGTCTAGGTTAATTGAATTTACTTCAGTTATTTTTTTAATTATATCTGGGCCTATAAAAATTTTCATTTATGGCTCATTAAAAAGAAAACATATAAATCTTTCAAGCAGTGTAAAGCCCAAGAATGTTTGACCAACTGTTTTATAATCACCTGTCATTTTACTCCAAACTTGGGATGGAGTGACAACATGGACTTGGTGAAGGTAAGGGTCATTTACATTTACTATGGGCAGGTCAATCAGACCTCACCTTTGATCCCTGTAGTAGTAAACCTTTGGCTGATTTGTGTCTCATAACTTTTGTACTGTAGAACCCAAACGTAGTGTTCCTGCCAGGGAAGCAAGTCCATTCATACTATTACAAACTTGTACTACATCAACTTGTACCACTAAAATTCAACCGGTACCAACGTTAACTACCAACTAGAACAACTGCAATCATTTCGAACTTGTACCACTGCAGACTCACCATTAAAAACATACATTGATATATGCATTGCTTTTGAAAACCTTGATAAAATATTAATTAATTTGCCTTAATAATCAATTCATTAAATAAACATACATGTACAATATACGAATGTTTAATGTTTGTTCTTTCAAATCTTTAAAAAAAAAATGAAGCAACACTGCCACAGTTTTCAAACTTACGTTTGCCTTGGTTTTTGGTTAACTGCCTGTAGCCCTTACAGTGCTTTGATTTGTTTCTGTTCTTTTACTTTAGTTTGCCTCAATCAAATGTTGTAAAACTTTATACACAGTGCGTATAACAATAAAACAGAGTTCAAGTTTAAATTTTGGTGGTGTCATTTTTTCCGTTCTAGTGATATGCACCTTTACAAATGAAAAAAATGCTGAATTTTTGTTTCAATTCTTTAACTTAAGTTTGCCTTCACTATATATTATGAAACGTAAACACGATGCTTATTACCACAAAACTCAGATCAAGTATAAATTTGGGTAGCATCACTTTTACAGTTCTTGAGTTATGTCCCTTTATAACGTTATAAGTTAGCAGGGGCATCATCTGTGTCCCATGGAATCATTCTCCATTTATTTTTCATATATGTGTTGTATAAATGAGACTGTAAGTTTTCTAATTTAAATTGTTTCACAGTTTTCATATTGCATTTACTATTCAGTAATTGTTTTTTTTTCACTGTTGAAGGGTATACAGTGAATTATAATTGCTTTCATCTTTGTCATTTTAACTGGATGGATAGTTGTCTCATTGGCAATCATACCACATCTACATATTTTTATTAGCTCACCTGACCTGAAAGGTCAAGTGAGCTTTTCTCATCACTTGGCGTCCGTCGTCGTAGTCCTTCGTTGTCGTCATTGTCGTCTGTTAACTTTTACAAAAATCTTCTTCTCTGAAACTAATGGCCCAAATTTAACCAAACTTGGCCACAATCATCACTAGGGTATCTAGTTTAAAAAATGTGTCCGATGACCCCACCTGCCAACCAACATGGCCGACATAGCTAAAAATAGAACATAGGGGTAAAATGCAGTTTTTGGCTTATATCTCTGAAACTAAGCATCTAGAGCAAATCTGACATGGGGTAAAAATGTTCATCAGGTTAAGATCTATCCGCCCTTAAATTTTCAGACGAATCCAACAACCCATTGTTGGGTTGCTGCCCCTGAATTGGTAATTTTTAGGAAATTTTGCAGTTTTTGGTTATTATCTTGAATTTTATTATAGATAGAGATAAACTGTATACAGCAATAATGTTCAGCAAAGTAAGATCTACAAAAAAGTTAATATGACCATAATTGTCAATTGACCCTTTAAGGAGTTATTGCCCTTTAAATGCAACTTTACACAATTTGTTCATCAAGTTTGCTAACTTTTAAAAATCTTCTCCTCTGAAACTACTGGGCCAATTACCTTCAAACTTTAACTTAATGTTCCTTAGGGTATCTTGTTTATAATTTGTATCCGAAGTTTGTGTCCATCGACAAACATGGCTGCCATGGCTAAAAATAGAACATAAGGGTCAAATGCAGTTTTTGGCTTATATCTCAAAAACTTAATCTTTTAGAGCAAATGTGACATGGGGTAAAATTGTTTAGTTGGTCAAGATCTATCGGCCCTGAAATTATCAGACGAATCGAACAATCCATTGTTGGGTTGCTGCCACCGAATTGGTAGTTTTAAAAAAATTTTGCAGTTTCTTTTTATTATTTTGAATATTATTATAGATATATATAAACTGAAAGCAGCAATAATGTCCAGCAAAGTAAGATCTACAAGAAAGTTAATATGACCAAAATTGTCAATTGACCCTTTAAGGAGTTATTGCCCTTTTAATGCAACTTTACACAATTTGTTCATCAAGTTTGCTAACTTTTAAAAATCTTCTCCTCTGAAACTACTTGGCCAATTACCTTCAAACTTTAACTTAATGTTCCTTAGGGTATATTGTTTATAATTTGTATCCGAAGTTTGTATCCATCGACAAACATGGCTGCCATGGCTAAAAATAGAACATAAGGGTCAAATGCAGTTTTTGGCTTATATCTCAAAAACTAAATCTTTTAGAGCAAATGTGACTCTGGGTAAAAATGTTTAGTTGGTCAAGATCTATCGGCCCTGAAATTATCAGACGAATCGAACAACCCATTGTTGGGTTGCTGCCACCGAATTGGTAGTTTTAACAAAATTTTACAGTTTTTTTATTATTTTGAATATTATTATAGATATATATAAACTGAAAGCAGCAATAATGTTCAGCAAAGTAAGATCTACAAAAAAGTTAATATGACCAAAATTGTCAATTGACCCTTTAAGGAGTTATTGCCCTTTAAATGCAACTTTACACAATTTGTTCATCAAGTTTGCTAACATTTAAAAATCTTCTCCTCTGAAATACAGGTGAGCGATTCAGGCTCTTGAGAGCCTCTTGTTCGAAATGGTATTACTCCAATTCTTTCCATAGGCAAGTAAGAGTCAGTATGATTATAAACTGTCATGATTTTCAAATAATTACACTCAAAGGTGCAAGTATTAATTGGAAACAACCCCAGTCTTAATTCACCACATTTAATATCTCATGACCTGTTACATAAGTAAATAGGCACAATTTATTACACACCTAACTGAATACACACATTCTTGACCTCGATAGTAAACCTTAAAATGTATTATTTGTTTTGATCTACACTACATTAGAATATTCTGTTAATTTTGCTAGCTAGCTGAATGATTAATCAGACGTGTTTTTTTTTCAAAGAAAAGACAAAAAATGTAAAAATATGTATAAAAAATGCAAGCAAATTTTATTTCACTTGTAAATTAAATCAGTGTCATTATCATCTGACATAAGTCAATAATCAAGATCTAATTAATTAGTTACAATCATCAGAAATTTGGTTGAAACAATAAACAAAATTGCATTACTGTTTCCTGAGCATTTTCTGCAATAAAATTTATTTGTTTGTTCTACATTTATATCCCATTATATTGCTATTCAACAGTAATTGGAAATATCTCAGCATTAGGTATTTGTACATTTAAATTTGAATACAGGAAATGTATTTTTTCTTAAAGAAGAATGAACACCAATTTAGATAAAAATGAGTTATTATTTTTTTTTCATTTTTGTTGTTTAGAAAGTGCATTTTTAAGGCCTCTTTCTGGAAATTATTAAGCCAGTTATTATTAATGGCATATAAAAAAATATATTACTTGTTTGACGATTTCCCTTTCCATTCATGTCAATACCATTAAATTGCAAATATTTATTAAAAAAAAAAAAATCTTGCAGTCTAAAATTGAAATATCAATATATATATCATTATTTGCATCAATATTGCGAAATTTCCTACTTGTGGGCAATAACATAGAAATTTATCAGTAAGATTGGAAATGAAAAGAGAAAAAAATATTGAAAAAAGTATGGTCAGAAAGAATATCAGACTATATATATAGCTATGAATATGGCTGGATCACAACATCGACGAGTTACATGATTATTCTAAAAACTGGTTCATTATAACCTTTGCAATAGAATTATTTAAAGTTATAATTTGGACTTATGGTTATTCTAGATCTACTTTTTGTTTTTAAGTAAAATTGGCTGGCTTACAGTATCAATGGAGCTTAAGTTATTATTCTCTTGTTTACACATACAGTTTTTTGGTGATTGATCTGCAAGCTGAGAAGAAGATCATTTTTAGTATGAATGCCAGTGTATGTTTAGAAGAAGGAAAAGCTTGTGATATAACCTTAGAAATTGTTAAGGACATGTATCTTCCAAAAATTGCCTGTGATTGGAGCAGCAATATAAACAGTTTCTCAGCATCAGATTTCTTGGCTAAGCAAGGACTTTCTCTCCAGAGCCCATTGACAGACATTGTAGTTAAGCAGATTTTAGAGAAACTTGGTATAGCTGAATACCTACAAGATCCACAGTGTGATATCAGCAATCAAATGTACCAATCACAGCCAGGAGATCTTGTTGGGTGGAGAGATGGTAAGGTTTTTATACCCTCATTTTTGAGACACATTATGGTATACTATTGTCAGTCCATCTGTCAACCCATCTACATGCCGGACAATTACTTAAAATGCTTTAACCAATTTGCATGAAACTTTGGTGGATTATTTATATCTGTTGATGTAAACTCCCTTTCCATTTTTATAAATTTTTAGATTTTACGATTTCAAGTCATGGGGTTTTATTCATTAAAAAGGGGGGATTTTCAAGTCCAGAAGGATTAGGAAGTTAACACTACTTCTGAAATACTTCAGCGTGTCTTAGGGGGTTAGGAAATTAACCCTGCTTCCTTTTTATGCCCCACTTAGATGCATTATGTTTTCCGGTTTGTGCGTCCGTTTGTTCGTTTGTCTGTCTGTACTTTCATACCTATATCTCGTTTTAGGTTAAATTTTTTGGACAAGGAAGTTTTTGATGAAATTGAAGTCAAAACAACTTGAAACTTAGAAAACATGTTCCCTATGATATAATGTTTCTAATTTAATGCCAAATTAGAGTTTTGACCCTAATTTAACGATACACTGAACATAGGAAATGATAGTGCGAGTAGGATATCCAAGTCTCAAGGAGAATAAGGTAGATAACACTGCTTCCTATATTTCAGAGTGTCTAGAAGAATAAGGTAGTTAACACTGCTTCCTATATTTCAGAGTGTCTAGGAGAATAAGGTAGTTAGCACACCTTTATTTCAAAGTGTCTAGGAGAATAAGGTAGTTAACACTGCTTCCTATATTTCAAAGTGTCTTGGAGAATCAGTTAGTTAACACTGCTTCCTATATTTCAAAGTGTCTAGGAGAATAAGGTAGTTAACACTGCTTCCTATATTTCAAAGTGTTTAGGAGAATAAGGTAGTTAACACTGCTTCCTATATTTCAGAGTGTCCAGGAGAATAAGGTAATCAGCACTGCTTCCTATATTTCAAAGTGTCCATGAGAAAAAGGTAGTTAACACTGCTTAACACTGCTTCCTGTATTTCAAAGTGTCCATGAGAAAAAGGTAGTTAACACTGCTTCCCATATTTCAGAGTGTCCAGAAGAAAAAGATAATTAACACTGCTTCCTATACTGTGAAAGTACTTTTATTCGTGGGTATAAATTTTCGTGGTTTGAGCAAAAGTCAAAATAACTTGAAACTTAGAAAACATGTTCCCTATGATATGATGTTTCTAATTTAATGCCAAATTAGAGTTTTGACCCTAATTTAACGATACACTGAACATAGGAAATGATAGTGCGAGTAGGATATCCAAGTCTCAAGGAGAATAAGGTAGATAACACTGCTTCCTATATTTCAGAGTGTCTAGAAGAATAAGGTAGTTAACACTGCTTCCTATATTTCAGAGTGTCTAGGAGAATAAGGTAGTTAACACACCTTTATTTCAAAGTGTCTAGGAGAATCAGGTAGTTAACACTGCTTCCTATATTTCAAAGTGTCTTGGAGAATCAGGTAGTTAACACTGCTTCCTATATTTCAAAGTGTCTAGGAGAATAAGGTAGTTAACACTGCTTCCTATATTTCAGAGTGTCCAGGAGAATAAGGTAATCAGCACTGCTTCCTATATTTCAAAGTGTCCATGAGAAAAAGGTAGTTAACACTGCTTCCTGTATTTCAAAGTGTCCATGAGAAAAAGGTAGTTAACACTGCTTCCCATATTTCAGAGTGTCCAGAAGAAAAAGATAATTAACACTGCTTCCTATACTGTGAAAGTACTTTTATTCGTGGGTATAAATTTTCGTGGTTTGAGCAAAAGTAGCATGTTCATGGGTTCTTTAATTTGTGGAATTTTTTTTTAGGCAGAGAAAAAAAAATGGTGAAGAATTTGAAGCCATCTGACCCAAAAACAGTCATATGTTTGTTTTAAAAATAGTCACCTAAGGTGTTAATTGGGCCATAAACACGTCACTTAAAGAAAATGGTTACATAAATAAAAGCTTCAAATGTACTTTGAATTGTAGAATCAATTCTTATCAAATAAAAGATAGCAAGCCTGTAATGAAATTATTTATTTTTTTGTGTGATAATTATGAGGATAGAAAATGAAGCCTTCATTATTGCATATCATCACCAGAAGTTCGACTTTTATCATTCAAAACTAATTTTTAGTGTGAATTGAAAGGTAAAAAGTTAGAGAGTCCCGTAGGATTAAGTAATTATCACAACTGCCTTTTTTTCAGAGTTTCCTGGATGATTAGTTAGTCAGTATACTGCTTCCTTTATTTCAGAATGTCATGGAGGATAAAGCTATTAACACTCCTTCTTATATTTTAGGGTTTTTGAGGATTTGGTTATTAAAACTGCCTCCTATATTTCAGTATGTTCTAGAGAATTAGGTTATTAATGACACTTACTTTATTTCGGAATGTCCAGGTGGATAAGGTAATTAACTCTACTTTCTATATTTCAGAATGTCTTGGAGGATTGGGTAACCTAACAGCACTTACTCCACTATCTATAGCCACACCTAAGGGACACATTGCATCACACTGTACTTACATTGACTTCTGTTTATATATACCATTACTGAGGAGGTCATTTCATGCTTACTTTGACCTCAATATGTGTGAAAGGTCATTCAAGATTGGTATAGAAAAGCTTGTCCTGGATTCTGATTTCTCATCCTACACCTGGGGTAAGATGAAGTTTCCTTATATTTGGCAGGGCTAATTTAAATTTTATTATATTGGTCTTGTGATGAGTATGTCCTTGTAGGTGTAATACCACTATTGATTTTCCCCTATTAGTCTTTGTTAAATTGGCACTTATAAAAAATTGTGCAGAATTTATCTTTGTTTCAAATAAAGAAATAGTTGGCATGAGTAAAGTTTTACCCTGTCCAGTACTATAGAAAAAATTTCACATAACATTTCATTGCATATAAGAAAATAACCATCACTGGAAGTTAACCAATCAAATATTCTCTTTGTTTTAACCTGTGTACAAGCTTTAGTAACCATGTAAACTCAAGTTTAAAAGATATTCTATAGAAACCCCAAATAAAAAAAATAATGGTGCTTTGAAATACCCAAGATAAATGTTTATGACCTAGAAATGTTTTATTGCAATTAAATGTAGGATTAATTACCTATAACTGTCAAATTCAAGGGAATATTTTTTTTAACCCATTTTCGTATGCAACTGGATGTGACGTACTATGATTTGGTGGTATTACACCCTGTACTGTGGATTCATTTATTTTCATTGGTACCAAATTTTGTGACTTGAGGACAAATGATATTTTCTTGAATATTTGTTTTCCTGGTTTTGCAAAAAATAGTTTACAAGCCTATAGTCAATTTATACTTCATTTAACATTAAATTTGTGGATTCCCTATACCCACGAAATCCACAAAAATTGGTACCCCATGAATTTCAATGAATCCACAGTACATTAAGATTGTAAACACGTTCTTAAATAGTTAGTAATTTGTCAAAATGGTGTAAAATACTAACTAAACTGTGTTTTTGTTTTTAAGTATTGATTACATAAATTAAATTCCTACTGATGTCAACTTTACAACTCCTTTCAAATTAATGTTTTCTCCCCATCTAAAACAATAATAGCTATAGAGAAATTTGAGACCAGTAATATAATTATTTTCTTTTTTAAAATTGTCCATCTTATTTTACAGGACAAAGAGATACTATAGATTTGATAGATGTCTTCATAGTTGAGTAAGTTTTGTACATTTTAGAAGGACTGTTGCTGATATAATTGAATGTTCTGATGACTTTTTTTTTTGTGTGTTTGTGATGGATAAAGGGAGCTGTTTGAACTGAAAATAAATGGACTGGTCCCAAGGAATTTTCAAGATTTATATAGACTTTTGAATTTTTTTATTGATGGGAAGTTAGGGTTTGAAAAACCAATATGACTCTCATGCATACAGTCCTAATACAATAACATGTCTGAATAATCCAAACTAATTAAAAAAAATGACAAAAGCCAAAGGAGATGATTTTGAAATGAAATGCAAGTTAGTGTAATATGTCATCTTTAACCTCTTTTTGTTATTACAGTTTTCTTGTTGACTATAATGAAACTGCAAAGTATTTCCGTGTAGACCTGAACATAAGTATCTACTTAGACAGAAGTCAACAGTATGTGACATTTGAAGTGTTCGAGGGACAAGTTCTACCAATTTCTGCATGTGACTATGATACAAGTTATGGAGTACCAGGTAATTCTTGTGGAATTTTAACATTTTTAGAAGGTTATGGCTATTCTATAAAATTATGGAGGGAATTGCATAGTTATACATGTGGTGCTGCTGGTGTGGGTCATTTATGGTTGTATTTTAAAATATGGAGACATGGTATTGTTGCGAATTAGCTAAATTGCCGCCTGAGACCAAAGGACGAGAATGATAACAACTAGAGGGCACCATGACATATGGTATTTAACAATGAAAAAACCAATATAATCATATGATGGATGAAAAATGAATCAAAGAGAGTATATATTAAATAAGAAGATGTGGTATGATTTCTAAAGAGACAAATTCCCAACAGAATCCAAATGAAGCAGATTTAAGCAGCTATAAGTCAGTGTAGGACCTTCAACATGAGCAAAATCCATACCATATAGTTGGCTATAGAATGTTGGAAATTGTAGATTTTGAAAGTCTTTTCAATTCTCTTACATCTATTTTAATGGATTAGACATGAATAGAAAATATTTGAATTTCAGCTGGTCTATATTATAAGGGATATAGACAAATAAAATGGCAACATGTTAAGAGGGATTCAGGACATTTTTATGAAGAACTTCAATGTACAGTTTAAATGAAAAGGTGTTTTCATTCATTCTAAAAGTGATTATACAGCAAGCTACTGTACCTTAAAAAATACTGTTAATTCAAAAATGATTGTGATGTTTTTATTAATGTGAATAATGCGACTTGGTGAGTATCGCAATAATAAGAACTTGCATTTTGATTACTGAAATATCGATATTTAAACTCACAATTTTGTCCGTTTTTGGAAAATCGCAATAATTAAGGCACACAATAATTTCTGAATTTACAGTTAGATGTTGTATAGAATAATGATAAGTTCTTATTATCTATAGTAGACCATACCCACAACATCACAGGTCCCTGACTGAATTAAAGAACATACGCTACATATTTAGCCTGGATTTTTAGAATTCTTATTGTCATTTGGTAAAGTCACGCTGTTTATAAGTCGCATAGTTATTCCCTGTATGCATATGATAACAAAGTTCAGGTGTGATTATTACCAGTGTTTATAGCAAATACGGAATACACTGTTTTGTTGTATGTCTGACTCGGTATTCAGATTTGACCCGCAGCTTGTTAATTTTTGGTAATATTAATTATGGGGAAAACAAAAGGGCTTGGAATGGTGTAATTTGTAATCTATACCACTGTCCTATATAATTTATATATAAAGTTAAATTCTGCAGGCAGTATGTCGACTGAGTATGTGCGAAAGCGTATAAGACACGGATTGATAAAGGTCTCTGAAATTGGATATTTCTTGTTTTTTGTGGACATATATAGATTGTTTCAAAGACAAATTAAGAAAGTATAAAACACTACATTTTTATATGCCAGTCATAATTGTGAAGGGATGTATTATGGTATACAAATGTCCAGCATCTGTCTGTCTGTCTGTCCGGCGTAAACATGTCGCACCGTAACTTGAGAACAACTTATCCAAATTTCATGAAACTAAGATAGTTGTTTCTTATGATGGTCAAACAATCTGTATACTTTTTGGTGAAAATAAGATTAAAACTTTTTGAGTTACTGGACTTTGTAACTAAAACAGGGGTGTGTTTTTTTCACATGTCATGCCGTATCTCAAAAATTATTGATGATTATTGCTTAAAACTTTACACACTTCTTAGTTATATTAATCTAAAGAACGATTTATGATTATTGCTTAAAACTTTACACACTTCTCAGTTATATTAATCTAAAGATCTGTATACTTTTTGGTGATGATTCAAAATTTTATCAGTTTTTTGTAAAAAAAAAAAGGGGGGGAGGGGGTTTCACAGGTCACGCCGTATCTCAAAAATGATTATGATTATTGCTTAAAATTTTACACACTTCTTAGTTATATTAATCTTAAGATCTGGGGCAATATGCGTAATTAATTTTACATAGGTGGTAATGGTAACGTTTTCCTCTGTAGCACAGTCCATATGATAAACTTGGATATGCATGATGGCTCATTTCAAAGCTGAGACATTTTCACATATGTGGTTAAATTTTCGGGGTATGAAGTGTGATTCATTTTTCCGTAAATTAGCACACCCCGAAAATCCTTTCCTGATGCGGCTCCTGGTGGTAAAAAATCCCTTTTTTCACACAATAAGTTCTTTGAAAATTTAATACTTTGCATTCATTTAATAACTGCATAGTTTTTACACATTTATTCTATGGTCCTCTACTTTTCAAATCAACACAAATGGTTAAGCTCAGTCAATTGTTAAAAATAGAAACATGTCCAATATCACTACACAGAGAATTTTTGTTTACACACAACTTTTGTGTTCCTCAATTTGAGGCGCATTAGGGATATTGACCCATCTGTATACTTTTTGGTGATGATTCAAAATTTTATTTTAGAGTAATTGAGTTTTTTGTAAAAAAAGAGGGGTTTTCACATGTCGCACCAAATCTCAGAAATTATTTATGATTATTGCATAAAACTTCACACACAAGACGACGGGCGTATCATGCACTCGTGACGCAGCTATTTATTACTTCATATCACAAATATTTCGACTCACTATGGTTTCAGAGGGGTTGCGGCTCAATGAAATTGGTCTCTTCCTTTAGTACTATAGATAACGTGGTTGAAAATGCTACTTTCTAATTTTTTAAACTTTTAATTTTATAATGATTCTCAAACAAATAAAACTAAATGATTTGCTTTAGGATTCAACTTAAACAGTTGGTATGCCTATCATAACGTACCAAAAGGATCACTACTGAACCCTGTCATGGCATCAAAGCTGCTAGAATTTCTAAAAATTGGTGAAATGATGTCTCCCACACAGTGTCAACCATCAGGAACTAAGTACAGTCCATCTGTTGCAGGATGGAAGAATGGTAAAAATTATTTCTGCAATTTATTGATATTTATATGTACATCTAGAATATAAATGCCAAGTATGGCATCAAATCATCTGTTGAAAAATGTATAAATGACACCATAGGTCAAAATAAAATGGACAAAAAGATATACAACATTACACAAACACTACAACAGGGAAAACTTAAATCAGAATATACCAAATTAAAAACTAAGAACTTAGATGATCTGGAGTGGTAGGCAATTCATGATTCATTAGTTGCAGTAATTACTTATGAACTATGCATAAAAGGTAAAAATATTTTTGAGCGTGTTTTACTGTACTCCAATAAACTTTATGTGAAAAAACCTGCATCCCTTTCAAGTTTTGAACAGAATAAAGGTATAGTAATTCATACCTGCCAACCTCTGAAACTTTCATAGAGGGCTATAACAACTGTAGGGGAGATTTTGCACGAACAACAATTTCAAGTTAAATATACCTGTTTACTTATTCATCTACAAAACAGCAAGAAGAGTTAATAAATATACTTTATTTCTTCAATTCATACGTATAATCTATACAAGGTGTTTCTATTTTTGCCTTTTTCAGTACCCCTGAGTCATATTTCATAACATTTGTCATTTCATATTTTGATTTTTGTTGCGAGTCACACACTAAGCATGCCTTCAATCATCGTACAGACAACCTGAAGAAACTGAAAAAATTGATTGGACATGATGTGCAAATAAAAGAGATTCATTGCCAAGTGAATTTGGTCGTAAAAATTAAAAATCTTTCGTTCAATCTGCTGGACATTTCGATTTGCAGTTATCTGTTTCTTCTTTTTTACATTGCCACTTGATCAAGACAAAGACATCTATCTTGTTGGAGTTGACATAGCAACATTGAATTTCGATTTGACTTTAAAATCTAACATACAAACTACTGACCAAAGTTTTCAAAAGATGGCCGATTGTTTATTAATTTCGATTGGCAGTAACAAAAAAGCCAGAGAATTATGAACGTGTGTCATTCCAGGTAAAAAATATCCGAAAGCGGGATATTTTATACTCCCCGTGGGAGCAGACAAGCAAGTGGGAGATTTCTGTAATTTCGTCATTTGAGGGGGAGACTCTCGCTGAAAAAGGGAGGGTTGGAGTATTTCAATTCATGACCTGAAATGAAAAAAATAAATAAACATTGAAACTTTTATAAGAAACATATATTCATGATTTTAAAATACATTGTATCTTTACAGCGTGTCCACTTGATGTTCCCATGGCAACAATCCATCCATCATCAGTAGGATCCATTGCTGAAGTGTGTACAGCTGTAGATTTCTGTTCTGATGTTGATTTCCTGGGACGTCCATTCCACACATACATTGACCTAGATCCTTGTACAAACATCGGCAAAATTGGCATTGAAGAATTTCGTCTAAAGTTAGATTTGGCTGATGCCACCATTTTTGGTAATTATTCTTTTTTCTTTTTAGCTCACCTGACCTGAAAGGTCAAGTGAGCTTTTCTCATCACTTGGCGTCCGTCATCGTCCGTCGTCGTCGTAGTCGTCTGTTAACTTTTACAAAAATCTTCTCCTCTGAAACTAATGGACCAAATTTAACCAAACTTGGCCACAATCATCACTAGGGTATCTTGTTTAAAAAATGTGTCCGGTGACCCAGCCTGCCAACCAACATGGCCGACATGGCTAAAAATAGAACATAGGGGTAAAATGCAGTTTTTGGCTTACATCTCTGAAACTAAAGCATTTAGATCAAATCTGACATGGGGTAAATTTGTTCATCAGGTCAAGATCTATCCCCCTGAAATTTTCAGACAAATCCAACAACCTGTTGTTGGGTTGCTGCCCTTGAATTGGTAATTTTAAAGAAATTTTGCAGTTTTTGGTTATTATCTTGAATATTATTATAGGTAGAGATAAACTGTAAACAGCAATAATGTTCAGCAAAGTAAGATCTACAAATAAGTCAGCATGATCAATATTGTCAGTCTATCCCTTAAGGAGTTATTGCCTTTTATAATCAATTTTTAACAATTTGTCGTAAATTTTTGTAATCTTTTACAAAAATCTTCTTCTCTGAAACTACTGAGACAAATTTAACCAAACTTGGCCATAATCATCATTAGGGTATCTTGTTTAAAAAATGTGTCTGATGACCCTGCCTTCCAACCAACATGGCCGACATGGCTAAAAATAGAACATAGTGGTAAAATGCAGTTTTTGGTTTATATCTCTGAAACTAAAGCATTTAGAGCAAATCTGAGGGGTGGCAAAAATGTTCATCAGATTTAGATTTATCTGCCCTGAAATTTTCAGACGAATCCGACAACCCGTTGTTTGGTTGCTGCCCCTGAGTTAGTAATTTTATGGAAATTATGCAGTTTTTTGTTATTATCTTAGATATCATTATAGTATCTAATAATATCTAATATCTAATACTATTAAGTATGTTTTAACCTTATTTTACATGATTTCCAAAGCATCAGTAAATACAGGTGAGCGACACAGGCTCTTGAGAGCCTCTTGTTTTTATTGCAAAACCATTCATTATCAAGATGATTTTTAGGTATCATTTAACCTCTTTTATCCCCAAAATCTTTGATGACTTTAGTTACTTTATAACATTTTAAGTTTTAAAATAATTCTTATTTAGAAAGGAAATTCAGCGAGAGTGAATATTTGACATGCAGTCCTTTTGATATGAAATGTTATGTGTTCAAAAGATTAATTGCAAAAATTAATTAAAAAATAAATGATTTATTTTTTTTAAATTTCACTTTTTGCATGTCTGGTGTCAATTTTCTCTATTATTGTTTTAGATGTGGAGAAAAACTTTAATTTGAAAGGAGTTGTAAAGTTGACGTAAGTAGAAATTTAATTTATGTAATCAATACACTTATAGTTTGCAAAAAAAAAAAGGTAGTATTTTACACCATTTTGAAAAAGGAGATCGATATAATTCATATCCTTACTTAGGAATCTCATTGGTTATTCAATAGCCTGTTTATCTTGTAGATACAAAATAGAGAAGTTCCCAGTACAGCGTCAATACAGAGTCAACCTTAAAATCCAGATATGTTTCAACAGTACCTCAGTATGTGAGATAGTGATAAATCCCTTTACTAAAGCTATGATCCCATGGAGACAATGTGCCTGGGACCTACCATATTCCACATCAGGTAAGTTAACTTATCTTATTGTCCTATGTGAGATAGAATGGATTCATTTACTTAGGCTATGATAATAGGGGTGTTTGATCATAAACTTTGTATATTCTACAGTTACACCATTTGGTTGTTAACCAATTTTAGGTTAATTTGAAGGTGTTTATTGATGTGTAAACTCAGCTGACATGGAAACAACTGAAAAAAGTTGGAATATGTAAAGTTTGTGAGTAGAAGACATAGTTTATACATTAATAAACTCTGCTAAATATTTTTTTTAATGCCTCCACCGCAGTGGATGGGCCATTTTAATGTCATCCTTGTCTGTCCGTCTGTACATCCATCTGTCCCTAAATTGGTTTCCATTATCTACATTTAACTTGCCTCAACCAAATTATATGAAACTTATGCACAATGCTTATTACCACAAAACACAGATTAAGTTTGAATTTGTTTGGTGTCACTGTTACTGTTCTTGAGTAATGTCCCTTTATAACATTATAAGCAAGAGATGCATCATTTGTGTCCCATGGACACATTCTCCATTTTTATTACCCCCTTACCCCACCCATTTTGTCCATGACAATATTTCATTGTGAAACACTGTTCATGAAAATATTCCTTAATCTATTTATGTCTTCCTTGAGAAATACTCTGCCATAAAATTGTGAGCGTTTCTGGATTTTAAACAATATTTTTCATGAATAGTATGTGTATAACCATAAATTGCTGCATAAATTTATAGTGCAGGTTTGTTTGCTATTATCAATCAAATAAAAGACATTACTCAACATATTAAATGTTTATAACTTACTTTCAAGAGACAAAATTTCATGATACTCCATCTATGAAATATACACAATATATAACCTTGGATAACCTCCCTTTAACAAAACAAAATTACATGCTATCTATCTATGGAATATTTTCTGTATATGTACAAAATTTCATATGGCAATTTGTCCATCTCTGAACATTATTTCAAAGATGGGGACAAAATTTTATGATACAAAGTCATGAAATGTTGTCTTGTCTTACAGGACAATATTTCATAGAACAATATTTTGCTGTACAAATTCAGTACTCAAAACAGAAGAAAAAATTTCTGAACTTATCACAGCTTTAGATGAATCAATTCGAAAAACAATGACAACATTAATGACACCAAAAAGTCACCAATGGGACAAATGCAATTTGTTTCATGAACCCTATGTCCTATTCATCAACTGCAAAGTTAACCTAGTAATGTATTCTCAAATATCATCAGTCAAGGGAAATGAAATAGTATTGTAATTTAAGACTGGATTTTTGTTAATTTCAGGATTTTCATTGTCTAGTCATCTGAAAAGTATTAACAAAAAATCAGGACAGACATTTACTTCAAAGGAAAGAGCTGATTTGTTTAAATTACTTGGAATTAACTCCTATGTCTTGGGAACACCTTGTGTATTGTCGGATTATTCACCAATCACTGCAGATAGATGGAAGAAAGGTATTGTCTTCAAATTTTTCTTTTGTATGATTTTCTTTTGAATTTAAGTCCTTTTCTAAGAGAAATAAACAATTATAAATCTTCTTTTCTGACTTAATTGATTATCATTATTTGACTTTAGTTGAATAAACTAAAATCTTAGGAACACTGTATACTGTGGGTTCATTATTATTCGTGCAATACCAATTTTCATGGATTTCATGGGTACAGGTTACCCACAAATTTAAATGGCTAACAAAATATAAATTTTCAATAGGCTTTTATGCAGACTTTTTAAAACCATGAAATCAAATATCCACAAAAATACAATGCTCCCTTAATCCACGGAAATTAGTACCCACGCAAATAAATGAATCCGCAGTAGTTGATGGTTGTTCATAATCACAATTTTTCTGCTGAAAGATGGTATAAACATTAAAATATGTTCAATTCTCATATAATACTTTTTACAGATTGTGCAGCAGACGTCACCTTGCCAACACTTCCTGCCAATGCAGCATGTAACATCCATGATAAGTGTACTGCTGTGGATTGTTGTATGTTCACTGACTTCCTTCAACAAGGCTTCCATTCGTTTGTTGAACTGGATCCCTGTAACCACAAACTTAAATTTGGTATAGAAAGATTATCAGAAACAGTAGATCTCAATGAATATGCATTTGGTAAGTTTCTTTTAGTAGTTGCCTATTTGTGATGTTAATTTTCAGTTTTATTGAATTGCTATTTATAGAATATTGGAGAGCTTTAATTACTTCAAACCAGTTTAGCTATGGTTATTTTAACTAAAAATGAAGTTTTGTTTAAACAAAATGTATTAAATTACATTGGGAAACAGGCTTATTGTATGAGTGTAAAGGTTTTCTCTCACTTGTTGCCAGTGCACTTTGATATCCAACTATGTGCTACCTCAGAAAAATACTAAAGTGTCACATACAATTGTGTGCCTTTATGTTTTAAGTTGTGGCTAAATCACTTGAGTAATTTAGAAATTCATACAACATTAAATGAAGATGTCTGATCAAAACAGCTTTTTTCAAAAACACATTTTATTTGTAGGAGTGGAAGAGACAAAGACATTGATGAATGTTGTTAGACTCACGTAAGATATTGACAAAAGAAGATATGGTTTTTATGAGAAATTCTGTCAATGAATACTAAAAATAATAACAAATCATTAATAGAATACAGTTGTTCTTCATCTGAACAGTTTCTTTAAATTCTACAATAACTTGAATAAGCTTTAATTAAGGGCAGATACAGAAAAGATCTCTTGTTGATTTTTCCTAAAAACTTTGACTTAAAGTCTATTTAGTTATGCACTATCACAATATGCAAAGAAAATATACCTTCATGACTTACTTTTCTAGATATTTTAGGTTTGAAATTTGCAGGTTTCATGTTTAATATTTTACGAAAAAAATTACACAACTTTCAAATGAAAAGAGATATTTTCACTCAGTTGGTTGCAATGTATTCATCAAATTAAAGTATTCCACAAAAGACAAATTTCATATCTGTTTCTATGCAGATTTTGTCACAATCTTTAATTCAAGTATCCTCAAAACTGCAACTTTTACTAAATCTATAGAAATATATAAAAAAAACACTGCATATTTAAATAGACATTTGCTTGAATTGAAGGCAATCACTGACATAATGACATTTAATAAAGACTCGTGAAAATTGAAAGTATTAAGAATTTTTTTTTAATTGAATTCCCCAGTACATCAAAGTATGAAGATAAAAATGTGTATATATTTTCAGATATACTATCACAAACCTACAGTCTGCCGGTAAATACCAGTTGGATATGACAATGGAGATCTGCTTTAATTCTTCAACATCATGTGACTTTGAAATGACCGTGTTCAGTGGTACACAGCTTCCTAAACAGTATTGCTTCACTGGTTCAACTTTCTTTGATTCAGGTATGTTTAAAAAATTTATATAGGTTCGTTTAAAATGGTCTGACCTTCTGTACATACCAAAACAGAAAAGAACCAAAAAGTAGCCGAAATGAGCATACACATACTTATTTTATATACATATAATACACAAAATTTTTATAGTGCTAAGAATCCTTGTAATAATTGAAAGCATACTTCCAACTTATATTGTACATTTTACAGGGATATATGGACACCAAAATAAAAGAGACAGTTTAACTTGGTTTTTAGAAGAAACAAAATTTTATTATGATAGATTATCATTATTTTTTTTTATCAAGGATTTTAATCTTATCATTAAGACATTTGTTTATATGCATATTATATTTTTTAAATAGTAATATCTTGATAAATTTTGCTGTAAAAATAAATAAAAAGCAAATACTTTCGTTCTCTTAATGTTTATCCTAACTTAAAAAAATTTATTTTCATTCGTTTATTTAAAGATGTCAGCATATTGCCCAGTGGCATTGGGTATGGTGATATAAAAAAATTTTGTTTTCTCACTTGTTTTCAAAATTACAAAAATGGTGAAAGCATGCTGTATCTGTAGTTAGGATTGTGAATGTACATATTCCGTCCTCTGCTTTGGTTTTGGAAAATGGGTGCACAGTGGCTGTGTATATCGTCAGACCCATATATATATATATATGTGTATTAACGTTTTTGCATTACAAAATATATCTCAATTTAGGTATCTCTGAAAATTAGAGTGTTAATTTTTTAGTTTTTTGACAGTTTTCGTATGAATAAATTTGCATATTTATTTTACAGCATTTTCACTGAACAACTTTTTACTGGCTGAGAATCAAGCTAAGGTCGATCCATTACCATCAGCGACAACAACCAAACTGTTACAAGATACTGGAATTAGTGACTACCTTCAAGTAACTGCATGTGATCACTCTGTCTCACCTTTTACCACAGCTAATGGCAGACTGAATGATGGTAAGTAACTCCATGTGATCACTCTGTCTCACCTTTCACCAGAACTAATGGCAGACTGAATAATCGTAAGTAATTACAACGGTTTATTCTGTTGCACCTTTCACCACAGGTTTTGGCACACTGATTGATGGTAACAACATGGCTTTATATAGTTCAAAAAGTTTTAATTAGAACATTTGTTACTATTTTCAAATTTTCTGAGAATTATTCACTTTCAGGTTTGAGTTAAATTTACATTGGAAACATGGCAAAATTTTGTGCAACATAGATTTACTTGCATAATTATAAATACCGGCATGCTTTTTACACCTATTTAAGGGTTAAACAATTAATCATGATAAAATAAGTTAAAATGTCTAAATCATTCGAGATAAATAAATTATACAAAGTATGTGGATGAAGGGGGACTTGAATTTAAAGATTAGATTTCTACAAAAAAAAAGTAAGCTTTGTTTTGTATTGTGAAATATTAGGGAAAAGAGTAGAAAAAGGTAATAAGGTAAAATTAAAAATTTGTTTTTCAGAATGTGGTAAACTTGGAGACTCCATTACTCTACCAGCAGACGTATCATTAAACATCCAATCAGATTGTACATCAGTTACTATGTGTTCTGACATTGGGTATATTGATAAGAAAATCCAGTCTACAGTGAAACTGGATCCCTGTACATATGAAATCACTCTTGGCATTGAGACAATGGAGACTTCTGTATCCTTGTTACAGTTCCAGTGGGGAAAACCACAATCCTTTGCCTTACAAGGAGGAATAAGAATGGAGTAAGAATATTGTTCATAAGTTAATTCTCTAGCAGAATACAATTTAGTAAATGCTATAAGAATATTTATTTGTTGAAATCATTTAGTGGATTTTTGATTCGCTGGAAGAAATTTGAAAAAAAAAAAAAAATGTTAAATTTGATATCACGTTTAAAAAATGATTTGACAGTGATTTATGAAATTTTACTTTCTCTAAGTACATGTAGTAGTAATTTAAATAAATAACGCTGTTTAAAGAATGAAGAAGTTTATGTAGTTGAAGTTTTGAAAATTGTTCCCTGTTATCTATAGTGATGAATTAAACAAATTTGGATAATTTTTTTAAATTTTTTGACAATTTCCATAGTTAATTAGGTACTTGTGCTTTTTGATGAATTGTGGTATCTGTTTTATTATATATTTCCCACACAATTTTTGCTTCAGGTATAATGTTTTTGACCTGCCCACCTCTCCATCTGTCCACCAGTCCTGTTCTTGTCATCACAACTACTCTTAAACCACACAACAGAATTTCATGAAACTTTATAGATAATATTTGATTTTTGATTTTTGGTGTTTTAACGCCACTTTTAAGCACCACTTTTGGGCTATTTCGTGGCGGCCAGTTTTTATTGGTGGAGGAAGCTGGAGTGCTCGGAGAAAACCACGACCTTCGATAGGAAAACTGACAATCCTAGTCAATTAAGATTGGAGTCGAGTGCACCCGCACGAGTGGGGTTTTATAGATAATAAGGACATACTATATAGATGTGCATATCGACAGGAAATTATGATTCAATTTATTTTTCTAGGAGTTATGCCCCTTCTGCACTTATGTTGGGATGTAGGGTGTGTCAGCATGCTCATAAAGGTTCTTTAATTATGAGTATAAAGTAATGTGAGATGCACATACTGAGACATCAATCCAAAGATCACATTTCACAAAAATAAAGATTTTTAGATTATGACTGGACAATATTTGGTATGAAGTTTTATAAGCATTTATACATCTCATTTCCTTGGAGATTATTTGGTTCCACCCCCTCAGTCATAGTTTATTAACTTTGAAACTTTTGCATAGTTTACATGTTAATGTTTGTGATTTTGAGGGGAAGCACTGATGTTATGTCTATTATATTTGGTATGTAGTTGTATAAGACATTAGATTATTGCATATCATTTAGATAGAGATTAGTTGACCCCACCCACTCAGTCATGGTCTATTGACCTTGAAAATTTTGCATAGTCTACATGTTGAAGTTTATGATTGGGTCCGTTTATGAGGACGTACTTATGATAAGTCAATGATGTTTGGTATACAGTTGTATAAACATTGACATATCTTATTTTCCCTGCACATTCAGTCATGGTCAATTGACTATGAATTTTTTGCATATTTTATGTGTTAAAGTATTGGTAATTAAAAGTTTAAAATTTTTCTTTTAAAATATAGGTACATCAAGATGAGACATATCTATGAGCCATCAGTTTATTAACCTTATCAATGTTTTTCCAAATTATTTAATTTCTTATAAAAGAATAGAAAATGAACCAAAAGGTCACCTGTATGTTTCTGTTCTATTCTGCCCTTTCTGATATTGCTTTTTAATCTATTATCTAGCTATGTGATATATGATTTAACCAGTGAAGGAATGTATCTGGTATGTGTTGACATGGGTCTAGGTCTGTGTATGGGGACTTCACTAATATTCCTTATTTCATACTATTTTCCAGCTATGTGATCCATGATTTAAACAGTGAAGGGATGTACCTGATGTCTGTTGACATGGGTCTGTGTATGGAGACTACAGACAGAGACATTTGTGATGTTAAACATATAGTGTTACATAATGTCAAAATACCAAAGAAGTCCTGTAATTGGAATAGAAGATTTGCATTTTCTGGAAATCCAAGTAAGAACAGTCAAAGTTATGTTTTAAATGTTTACTTCTGAATGCTGTAAAATTATAAGTTTATTCTTTTTAATAACTTGAATTTGAACAAGGTGAACCAACACCTGAAGTGGTAATCGTGCGGTTGGGTAATAGTGGGTGGATACCGAAAGGTATTCACAGTTGTCTTTCAGTAGATAAGTAAAATAAAACGATAATAAAGACAACAACACCCATCAATTACCGCATGGTAAGAATTTAATCTGGTCGACATGTTTCGCCAACAAGCGTGGCGTCTTCAGGACAATATTACATATGAAATCAAACAGTGAAGTACAAATTTTGCGGTTGTGTGGTTCGCTGAAAGTAACGTAACAATAGAGGTTGTTATGACGACGTTATAGATATAAATAGAAAGTGAAAGTAAAATAAGAATCTAGTTAAGTTAAAAGTGAAAGTTAGTCAATAAAGTTATTAACGATGTGGTTAGCTGCTATTCTCACACGTCTGTGTAGTTGTTCTCATGTAGGTTTCTAGTGGTATTATTGTAGAAATGATGAAAGTAGATCATAAAATGTCAGTTCATTTCCAAATTGGACAACACCCCACTGGCCATCCCGTACCAATTCAACTGGCTTCGCTCCTAGGGAGGTACTGCTTCCAATTGTGTTGGTAAAAGGGTAAAGTGTATGATCGCCGCAATTTTGGGGATTGTAAATCTTGGTAGATTCGTTTATAAAAATTTACTTTGCTAATAAAGTAACCGTGGATCAGGCTTTTCTTTATAATTGTATGGTATGATAAGTACACGAAGTCAAAATAATTCGGAATACCAGGCATTTAACTTAGAGAAAAAAGGAAAGAACCAGAAACGAAATGAACCACATAAACCACAAAACATATTTATAAGGAAAAGCTTCATCCACGGTTACTTTATTAGCAAAGTAAATTTTTATGAACAAATCTACCAAGATTTACAATCCCCAAAATTGCGGCGATCATACACTTCACCCTGTAACCAACGCAATTGGAAGCAGTACCTCCCTCGGAGCAAAGCCAGTTGAATTGGTACGGGATGGCCAGTGGGGTGTTGTCCAGTTTTTAATAACTGTATAATTTTTCAAACTTCATAGAGAATGTACCCAAATAAAAATTTTTACCTGTCTATCCTCATACATCAGGAATTTTACTAAGTTACCTGTAATTAATCAGAAGTAGCAGCATTGCTTGGGACATGGCCTTTGACTATTATTAAACACTTGAAGTATACTATTTTAAATGTTAAATAGAATTCCATATTGTATTTTTTTTCCAAAGAAAGAACTAAAAATGTATTTTTTTCTAAAATTATTCTAGCTTCACATTTGAATTTTTCGACACATACTTCTATTTGTAGAAATCAGACCACATTTTCCATTATTTTAGGTTTTGAATTGTCAACCTGGTTAACTAGTAACAGTTATACCAACTCAAATCCCCTGTCAGATCTTGTCATCATTGAACTTGAAAGATTCCTACAGTTAGATGAATTTATACAGCCTAGCCACTGTGTGGCATCTTCGGCACCGTATACACCCGTCAACTCTGAAGGCTGGGCTATTAGTTCAGGTAAGATTATATACAGCCTAGCCACTGTGTGGCATCTTCTGGACCTTATACACCTGTCAACTCTGAAGGTTAAAGGGTGTTAGTTTAGGTAAGATTATATACAGTCTTAGCCACTGTGTGGCATCTTCTGTACCTTATAAACCTGTCAACTCTGAAGGCTAGGTGGTTAGTTCAGGTAAGATTATATACAGCCTAGATAGTTTGTGGTATTCTCTGCACCTTATACACCTGTCAACTTTGAACATATAAAAATGCAAGTTATGTTTTACTTTTTTATACTGATTTGTTCATTTTGCAAATGGACTGGAAAACAACTGAAAACTGTAAGTGTTTAAAAGAGTTTCATTTGTGCTGTCAAAATAGTATACATGTATTTTTCCAACAGGATGTCAGAATGCTCCAACACTCACTACATTGCCTGGTTCTGGTATTGTATGTAACCTTGGTGACAGCTGCACTAAAATTGATTGCTGTGTTGACATTGCCAAGTTAGATACAACCTTCAGAGTTTATGCTGACCTTGATGTGTGTAGTAAGGAATTCACAGTTGGTGTAGAGAAATTCAATAGAACTATATCCCTGTATAGTTTCCAGTATGCACAAGAAGATACTTTCTCCTTCGGAGGACTTGTTAATATTAAGTAAGAACATTTTGATTGAATTTAAGATTTCATTTTACCCCTTGAAAACAATTTTTTTTTGTAAAACTGTCATTTTGCATTTTTTAGTGGTTATTTTAATTGACAATGAAATGTTACAATCAAACACACTTTTTATACACAGTGAAATAATTTTTGATGAAATTTATTTATTTTGATAGCTCAATTTTCTAGTAAAAAGGGCAAATGATATAAAAAAATTATATATGATTTACAAAGGAATATTGGGAGCATTTGAATAAAAATCTGAAAATAGACCTCTTTTTGTTTCTTCAGGAGGTTGTTTTTTTATATGCTCTCAATGACTTAGCATATTATGTTACCGCATCCATTTTTTCTTCCTTCCTTTTAAAATCTGACAGTTTTCCTGGTTCTTCAGATACAAAGTAGTGAACTACCAGAGTGAGAGAGTGTTTGTAGTTAACATGGACATTGAAGTATGTTATTCTGCTGCTGGACCATGTGCAGTACAACGCACAGTATTGACTGATGTAAAGTTACCCAAATCTTCATGTAACTACAGCCAGCCATATGCCATTCCTGGTAAGTACAACACACAGTATTGACTGATGTAAAGTTACCCAAATCTTCATGTATATACAGCGAGCCATATGCCATTCCTGGTAAGTACAACACACTGTATTGACTGATGTAAAGTTACCCAAATCTTGTATTTTAAATCAACCCAGGATTGAAATATTTGAAGTCCTCTGACTGAATGGCTAGGTTCACATCAACTCTGGTGTAGAATAGTGTGTTTGACGTCAGAATGTAAACGTCAGGTAGAGATATAAAAGAATTCCGTTGTTCAAAGTATTTTCAAAATTATAATAGAACAATGAAATAATGGCATTATAAGAGAACAATAACATAATAGTGGGATGTTTAAAAGTACAGAGCCACGTCATATGTACCAAAGAAACACAAAAAGTCACACGTACAAAGCACACCAGCAAAAATGAGAGATAATACAAACAACACATTGACGGGATGCATAAGTAATGAGCCATGTCAAATTGATATCACCAAAAACAGACCAAACAGTAAAAGTAATATTAATAATAAAACAAAGACAAATAAAAGAACAATATAACACGTTATTAAGATGATAAACAACGTCAGTACGCAGAATCTATACACCAAGACCATCATTAATTATTTGTGAAGTTGATACGGAATATTTATCAACAAGGTCTTGGTACCTTCCGATGACCTTTTTTAGAAAAAGAACGAGATGTTCTTTGACATACTCCTGGTTAATCAACTTTCTGCTCAGACACTGGTGACGTTTTACAAAGTCTGAGTAGGAGCTGCAAGTTCTTGAATATCGAATAAGTTGGGAAATGTATATCCCATATGCAGGTGAAGTATAATGCTACTAAGGTGAGGGAAATTGATAATTTCAAAATTAAAACTGTCTCGTTTGTCATAGATTCTGGTAATGAGATGACTTTGTATGTCAAATTCGAGGTATAAGTCTAAAAATGAGGCGGAGGAAGCACTGTGTCTGTTGTTTCTTTAATTTCTAGTTCTGGGGGATATATTAATGGAACCCAATCAGAAAAGTTCGGATTGTTAATGGAAAGAACATCATCAATATATCTAAAAGTGAAATTGAATAATCTGGCTTCTTTGATCTTCTTGTTTTTGACAAGTGTCTGAAGGAACTCCGATTCATATGAAAATAAGTAGAGGTTTACAAGGAGAGGCGCACAGTTTGTTCCCATAGGAATGCCGACAATTTATTGAAAAAGTCTACCTCCAAATTCAACAAATATGCTGTCGATAAGAAACTCCAGCATACTTATCACTTTTTCCTCTGTGTAGCATGTTTTACCCTTTTATTTACTATTAACAAAATATGCCTTATGATATCCCAAAGTTATTGAATTTAGTTTTTCTGCCAGTTAACATAACATTCACTCTGTGGTTAAAGTTTTTAAAATTTTAATAACTTTTTAAAGTATCCTGGATTTCTACCAATCTTGGACAGGAGCTTGTTTATGATCAAAAGCTACAGTATCTAGAAGGAATTTTGTAAAAATATATTTCCTGTTTTTCCGTACGTACTTAATGATTCTGACAGTTTTGTACATTACAAAAAGTCATTAATTTCCTTCTTTTATAAGCTAAAGGCTACTTTATTCAAGAAGTTGGAGACTTTGAAATAATCTGAAATATTTTTCTGTTGGTCAAAGATGACAGACTTTAAACATATTTGAATTTTTATGTGCTTATACCTAAATCTTAATTGTAGTAATTTTACTGATTTATTGATGAACTTTACAGATTTCTCATTGGTGTCTTACATGAGTGAGTTGGATGTTAATACCAATGCCAATAAGTTACCTAGTTGGGCTGTTGACTTACTGATGGAAGAATTAGGAATAGCAGGTTTCCAGGAAGATCCTCAGTGTGAATTATCAAGCTATTCTGGAGCTCAATCTAATGGATGGGATACAACAGGTACAGTTTTAACATCAAAAAAGTAATCTCATTCTTATACCTATACATGGAGTTTAGAAATCAGCATTTAAGACTTGAAAAGCAGCAGTTCAAGTAATAAGAGGAAACTTCATGTTTGAAAACTATAAGGTAATTGACAGACTTCATGTTAAAATCAAAAAGTTAATAAGTCTAATGCATACTGTACTCAAAAATAAATAAAATAAAGTTTGGAATAAAACTCAAAGAAATATCCAAATGCATGTACTAGCATGTACATGTATATATTGAAGCAAAGACTGGTCTACTTGGAGTCATAATAAAGTATTCAAGTTGGATGACGGGCATTCCTGGGGAGGCAGTTACTTTGTGAACTAGCTTTTTAAAAAATTATTTGACTAAAACATGTCAGTCTTGTTCAAAGAAGGGTTCCTAATCATATCACATTTATATGGGTCTAATTTGCATGTACTCCTTGCCACATTATTGATTCAATTATTAATGATGAAAGTTCATTTCAACTTATTACTTTTTAGCTTGTGGAGAACTTATAACCCTACCACAGTTACCAGCCTATACACGGTGTAGGTTACCAAGTTACTGTACTGGTGCCCAGTGCTGTTCTAACATTGGTTATCTTGGGAGAAAGTTGGAAGTCTTTGTCTTTGTGGATCCATGTAGTTACTCTGTCAGTATTGGACTGGAGAAAAGAAATATCAATGTTACATTACTGGAATTTACACAAGGCAGTTGGCAGACAGTCACTTTAGGCAATCTACTCAGACTACAGTAAGTACACAAGGCAGTTTGCAGACGGTCACTTTAGGCAATCTGCTTAGACTTCGGTAAGTTTTTATGGAATCTAATATATATATTATAATAAAGATACATATTTACTTAATTTTTGTCAATTGATTAAAGAAAATTAGGCAATTTAATCATTAAAGTTGTATTTTTAGCTCACCTGGCCCCAGGGCGAACTGAGCTTTTGTCATCATGTGGGGTCTGTTGTCCTTAGTTTCGTCCCCAATGTCCTTCTTAGTTAACTTTTACAAAAATCTTCTCCTTTGCAACTACAGGGCCAAATTTAACCAAACTTGGGCACAATCATCATTAGGGTATCTTAATTAAAAAAATGTGTTCTATGACCCTGCCTGCCAACCAAGACCGCTGACATGGCTAAAAATATAATGTAGGGGTGAAATGCAAGTTTTGTCTTATTATTTTGAAAACCATTCTAACTTGTTATAGCAGTTATTGCCCTTAAATGACAAATTTTACCTTTTTTTTCATTTTTGCCTATTATTTTGAAAAGTATAATACGTAGAGAGAAACTTTAAATTTCAAAAATAATCAGGAAGACAAGTTCTACAAATAAGTCGTTCATCAACTTCTTATTAGTCATTAGAGTTATAGCCCTTCAATGAAGATTTTTACAAAATTTTTGCACTTTTGCCTCATATCTTAAAAATATTAATAGATAGATAGAAATTTAAACAAGAAAAAAATGATCAGCAAGACAAGATCTTCAATTAAGACAATTATAGAGGGAATTGTCCGACTACTACTCTATTTTGAATTATTGCCTATATTACTATAGAAGATAGAGGGACACTAAACAGACTAAATGATCAGCAAGACAAGATCAACAAAACAGAGGTTTTTTTCACGAATTATATTTTGTCTACAATGTTGGAGAGTGTCTTTTGTTGAATATGCAAATAAACCAAAGTGAGCAACACAGGATCTTTAGAGCCTGTAGCTGATTGTTATGAACAATTTTGCAGTAAAAAACATATATGTATCATATTATAAAACTATAGAGACTTTATTGTGCATACCAAGTTAGTTTAGATTTTGAATATCTTTGTGATTTATTTTGCATAACAAAAAAGATTAAAATAATTGTATTACAAGAGTGATTTGATGTCAACACTTAAACATTTTCTATAGCTGTTGTTAAAATTTGAATTGAACTGAACATTTTTGATAGCTGTTGTTAAAACTTCTGAATCACTCCTGTTGTTAGCCTCCAAACAGTCACGTCAGACATTTAAAATAAAATTCTTATGGTTTATATGTAAACATCGTTCATATCATTTATTATATATTATAGATACAAAGCAGAGGAGTTGACAGCTGAGAAAGTTTACTTGTTGTACATGACGATCAGCATATGTTTTGAAACTGTTGGAGATTGCCGTTATTCTTACACTGTATTTAATGGTGTAAAGATTCCCAAACAACCATGTGACTGGTCAAGAGGATATGCTATTCCAGGTCTATATAAAAATGTGTAGAAAATTTCACCTGAAATATGTAGCTGAATTCTTTTTTGTAGCTAACAAGATGAACTTTGAGCAATTTCCTCACGTATAATACCTTTGCTATAAGTATTTGGTAAACAGAAAGTTAATGATCTGTGAATTTGAATGAAAATGCACAACACTGTTATAGCATGCTATGTTTGGTAGATTTCATATTACACATTTCAAGTTCTTTTTATGGCTAGCCTTTATATATCTGAACTCAAACTTAGATATGAAATGGAAACTTTTTTTGGATATTTGTGAAACTTCATACCTTCCAAATTTCATGATTTTACGTATTTGTCTTGTGAATGTGGATAAAGCTTTAAACAAAATTTTGTTCAAATCTATACAAAAAAAATGTTGGTTCCCTGATTTTAAACTTTTCCCAGGCTATGAGAGCCAATTGAAATCTGTGTTTCTCATGATTATGTTAATGAGCCAATCAAAATCAATGTCTCTCATGATAATGGGGCATTTTTAACGTGCATAAAATTCGAACTTTTTTGAAATTTTTAGTTGTATTCCTCTATTGGTGAGGTCTGTTTGTCAGAATTATAAGAAATCAAATGAATGACATTTCAATATATGCAATTTTTCTACACAATATTATAAGTACAAGAATTGCGCAAATAAAAAGAGGAAAAGGGCTTATTAGCACATCATCAGTATATACCATAATAAGAGAAATATGACACTATTTTTAAAGTACATGACTGTGCACACTTAAACGTGTAAAAAATGTAACCTTGAAAAATGATGTGCACTTAAACTTTGAAATGTTGGCAGGTATGTTGTACCAAGTCAGGAATATGACATTTGTTTACCATCCGTTTCATGTGTTTCAGCTTTGATTTTGCCATTTGTTAAGGAACTTTTCCTTGGAGTTCAGTATTTTTGTTATTTTGCTACTTTATTACTTGAACATAAAAAAGATGATAAAAAAATTATAATCATCATTCAAAATCTCGCAGGGAAAGTGCAATTAACACTTCCTTGGTTTTAAGTCATTTATGTATCAGTGATTATTGAGTAAATGAATTTTACATTAATTCTTAAAACTTAACATCAAACATATGTTTTTGAATTCTTTTAAGGGTTTCATTTGAATTCCTACCTAACTGGATTAGGATATTCCACAAGTGCACCTCTGAACTCATTAGTGTCCTCTCAACTCTTGGAATACCTGGGAGTAGCCAGTTTACTGAAAACAACAGCTGATCAGTGTCAAATGTCAGATCCTCTTAAAGGGTCCCCAAAGAATGGCTGGACAAAAGGTAATTAAAGTTAACTTAACCTTGAAGAATTATTAGGATTTACTGACCAATATCACATTGAATCATAGCTAAAGCAATGACTGGATAGGAAATATGTCTATTTGTTGAAAATGTAAGTATAAGCATTTTTTCATGGCGTCACAAGTACCACACATCTTGATTTTTAACAAAATTTCAATGAGAACAATTAATCCTGTTGATTTTTTTGACAGGAAACATAGAACCCAAGCATCAACAAAAAAGATCTTTTAACATAATGTTATAAAACTTTACAATTTCTACTATAAGTTAGTTTGTCAAAGCTTGCTCTCTATGTTTCCCAGTAATAGGGTTGTAAATTTAAACGATTTATTAGAAAATCTATTCAAAAATAGTTTTATTTCACTTTCTTATGGGTCTTTTTATCAACTTGATACTTTTTTTTAATCTTTTTATTAGGCTTAACACACATACATGGTTCTGTTTTTCATACTTCTGGATTTTTGCCAACAGCAAATGTTTCTTTTTTCCCTAATTAATGTTTTCTTTCATGGCCTTTGTACTTCATAATACTAAATGTAGTTGGTAGTGTTAAGTATACAATATTGAAAATACTGTTGATAGAACTTGAAGAAATCAGCAATACAGAGTTTAACATGACATTATTTTCTATGACTGATATATACACATAGATGATTTGATAAATATGCCTTCAGGTGATTTGGTTTAATTGAAATTCATATTCATATTCTTGTGTAATTGAAACATAAAATCTGGTGCAAATGATACATCCTGACAGAGAGGCGGTTATACAATAGGGATATTCAAACTCATAAATTGAAAACAATCAGACAATGCCATGACAAGAAATAATAAAAAAAAAAACAATGAAAAGACAAACAACCGTACACAAAACACAACAAAGAAAAACAAAAGACTGAGCTGTAAATAGAAATTGGTGTGAAAGGGTCGCAGCCAAATTGAAAGCATCTTGCTAGCAAACATTAAATTTTCATATATGCCAATGTCAATTTCAGCTATGATATGACATTGAGAAGTTATTGAATTTTATTCTTTGAGAAAGCGACGGGTGTATCATTTGCTCATTGCGCAACTGTTTATTTTGCCCAAACTAGGGGCATTATGTTTTTCGGGTTGTGAGTCCGTTCGTCCTTTCGCCTGTCCCTCTGTCTGTCTGTCCTGCTTCAGGTTAAAGTTTTTGGTCCAGATAGATTTTGATGAAGTCCTAACAATTTGAAACTAAGTACACATGTTCCCATATGAAATGATCTTTTAATGTTAATGCCAAATGAGAGTTTTAACCCTCATTTTCACGGTCCATTTACATAGAAAATGATAGTGTGAGTGGGGCATCCATGTACTATGGACACATTCTTGTTTTATATATTTCAGGTTGTACATCAGCAGTAGATCTACCGACATTAGGAAGTAACAGTGTTTGTCACTTATATGATACCTGCACTGGTATATCATGTTGTCTACATTCTATTTCTGTTGATAGAAACTTCAATGTCTTCCTCAAACTGGATCCCTGTACACATAAACTTGACATTGGTATAGAAAAGTACCAGTTTGACTTTTCACTTTACTCTTTTACATTTGGGACGACACAGTACTTTCATATTGACAGAGTAATTGGAGTTGAGTGAGTACATTCATTCTTATTTTAAGTTATGGATAAGTCAATACTCAGCGACTGATTGGCATAAGGTTTTATACTTGGTAGGATTATTTATCGTCATTTTCTCTTAACTGTACTATATCATCAGTTTGGTTTGACAATTTTAACAGGAGTTAGGGTTTCCATGTTTACATACCTGTCAACCTTGAACGATGAAAATGTAGGTCATGACCAGCATTGAAGAAGAAAATCTCAGGTCATAATGAGTACAAACTTTTTTCATCTAGATTAAAGTATTTAGGGGACAATTTTTGTATTTTAAGTTGACCATCAAAATACTCGTATTGACTGGTTTCATTGCATTTACTTCCTGAAATTTCTTACCGTTTTATGGAATGCAACAGTTTAAAACTCAAATGATTTTAATGTCTAAAAAATGGTAAACTAATCTCAGGAATCGCTTATACATCTTTCAATTTTAAAGACGAAATAAAAACCTGAAGTTTCAAGTTAATACTAAATTTAGAGTGAATACAGATGTATTAACGGGATTCTTTCTGTTTATTAAATGACAGGAAATCATCTTATCTCAAATTTTATTTATGATTAAAATGTTTGAATATACCTGACAATAGATCAGATTCACAGAAACATTAATATAGTTCGCCTCAAGGCAAACTTTAAACCTAAAATAAAAATTTGACTGGCGCCATTTTTCCTTCAAACTGATCACAATGAAGTCATGTGTTTTGCGACAGTGTGATTGAGCATGAAATTATTTTAAATTTTATGATAAAGTGTCTATTCTGGTAAAAGACACTTTTACGCCTGCATATTACATAGTAAATAAAGCATATGTTTGACTCGTGAACAATAATTTTTTCCAAAGTAAATTTAATATATTTTTTAACTTTTAAATCAGTATTGGTGATTGTCTTCACTGAGAAGTTCTTAAATAATGAAGCTATTCGTATTTGAATAGACTTTCTTATAAGTATAAGTTCTGGAGCTTGGTCACAACTGTCAAGTCACAGTGAAGAACACAGGTATAAAGTTATTATCGATCATTGGCCAGTATCTCCATGAGGCATTAATATGGTTATTTGGAAGGCACTCTTGATTAAAATACTATACTGGAGTGGCAATTTATTACTGGAAAGGCATTTCAAAATAAAATTGAGTGAACAAAGAAACCTGTTTCAATGAAATGACTGAAATTATTTCTTTAAAAAAATAAGATTTGACTTAAATCCCAATCTTCTGTTTAGGACAAATACCTTTTAGTTTCAATTATGACTGGCAAATTTGACCGCTTCTGGAGACTTGCTTGTGAATGTAACTCCAATAAGTCTATTTTATGGGAAGCTCTCATACTTGGTAGGATTGTTTGCCATTTTATTTTGTTGACCATATGGAGCTGCCATTTTCTGCTTGTTTGAGACATGAGTCAAAATGCAAGACTAAGGGATGACTATAAAGCAGCAGCTGTTTGGATTACATAAACTATTGGTAGAGAACTTGCAACCTTAGGCGTTACTATTTTAGTGATCAATCAGCGGTCATCGATCAGTCACCGATCAGTCAAATTCACGTCAAACTCACATCACCAATCCGTTAGATTTATAGTAAAAATAATTGACTGATCGGACGAATAGGATCGATCGACCTTTTTGACGGATTGAACTCTACTACCTCACATGATGAACTAATACAAATTACAGAATCTTAGTTTCTTTTCATTTAATTAAAATGACGCCACGGAAAATACGAAACGTTCAAGTACAAAAGATCAACATTTTTTTTAGTACTTACTCAGCAAAGTTTTTAGAATTTTTAAAGAAATATGCAGATAAAACTGATTTAAGGTAGCACTACAGTCTAACAATGATTTTTTGAAGATATTTTTTTTATCACATAATTTTGAAGTAAGTATTATTCTGCACAGTTTGTAAAAATCCCAAAGTCATTATCATATCACAACAGGGAGTAAATTGATAATGAACGTATGTAAATAAAAGCACATGTAATTAATCTAAATATATAGGCATTTGGGAGGGGCTAATATGTCAATCATCTGTTGATACCAGTGTCCA